TAGTGATGTATGTTTAGGTCGATGTTACTTACCTAATTACATTCTTTTGTTTAAATGATGTAATCATGTAAGCAATGTTATGGACATTATTTTGAGATAGGATATGTATGTTATAGCCTATGCAATGTATTGTTAGGCAATATTATTTATGCATGTATGTATCCCTTGACATGATACCTTGTGTGACGAGGAAAGTATGAAACAGGGCGTTTCTTGATGAAATGCTTGTAATGCTCATAGAGAATGAATGAAGTAAATATAGAAGGCTTAAATACACACCAATGGAATTGTGGTGCCATGGAAAAATGACAAAAGAAGTTATGATATCGAGTAATAAAAAGGTTGATATTGTTTAACAAAAAAAAAAAAGGTTGATATTAGGAATTGCAATACATAAAAAAAAAAAAGTTATTCATGAATTCATATTAAAACTAATTGTGAATTATCTGGTAAGTTTTTGCGTTTAATTATTTAAACTTATTGCGCTTAATGTCATATATATGTTAATATATCGGGTGCACACGAGATAATAGAGAAGACATTTCTTTTAATAGTTCCAATACTGAAAATATTTTTTTTTGAATTCAGATTTTCTATTTCTGTTGAAAAACAAAGAAAAGAATTTAACATTTTGACTTGATTAAAAATTAAAAAGATACATAACTGTTGTATACCATGTGTAATCATGTAAGTCTTGCTCCAGTCCAAAACTCCAAATTGAAACTATTTTGCTTTAGACACAAGAGACCAAAACATTTTTCAACGGATTCAAATCCCCTTTTCCTAAATTTATGCATTAGCTGGCAACTCAAAATTGACCTAACAAACTACGCGCCTCAGTAAAAACCATACTGGTCCGTAGGGGTATCAACGAGTCGAGTTGAGTTTTGATCTTAAAAGATTAAGTTTGTATTTAAATATGTTAGCATGATCAAATTTGTTACCTGTTATAAATATAATTATCGGCTTGTGGCCTGACTTATTTACAAAAAGATAAAAGTCTGATTTAGCCTGTTTAAAAAAAAACAAGAAAAATTTATCTAAATAGAATATACAATCAACAACTAATTCCATAAATATTCATAAATTCAATATATATCCAAACAACATAATATAGAACAAAATCATTCAAAAAGTCTGTTTAACCAATAAAATTAGTGAAATGAATTGAGGAGAAAGAGAGAGCTATTACAAGTAGTATAAAAAATAATATACTAGGTCTGCCTGAGAGATTCTAAGGCCGAGCTTTTAAATTGGAGCCTGAAGCCTTTTTATTAAACGAGCTTTCATACAAGTTTAAGTGTCAACAACCAAATTTAGACATGTAAGCTCAGACCTCTACTAGCCGAGTCGAAGGCTCCTGATTCGTTTAACACCTCGATGTGAACTTAACCTAGCTTTCGAAAAATATCAATAAAATATAAAAAAGAGCTATATATCTAAAAATCGAATCGAAAAACGAGCAAGAGTTTTCACAAATCAACATGGCTTTCAAATTTTTTTCAAATACGAGATAAAATGATTTGTGTATTTATCTTTTAGGTTTTATAAGAGTTATGTGGTAGGAAAAATGATTCTGGTATGTTATAGAGATTTGTTTTGCGTGCGGTAGTTTTTTTTTCTTCTTTAAAACATGTGGGTCCCACAAAATATTGTGTGTGTAGAAAAATTGTTGTGGTCATATTAAATGATAGATGTAAATCCCTTACCTTTTTCACAGTTTTCAAACGAGAATTGTGTGGAAATGCACTTTACATGCAGAGCATTGAATAAAAATCAAATATAAAAGTTCAAATTACTGCAAAAGAAAAAGTCAGAGATCCGAAGAAGAATGAATTACAAATCGAAAAGGAAGAAGTGGAAAAAAAAACTCATCGGTTCGAATAGGATTGCCCGTGGAGAATACATGTCATTTATTAAAAAAAAAAATTAAAAAGAAATAGGTGACTCTAAAGTCTAAACTCCATATTTCATGTTGTTATTGATCATATATGGAATGTGATTTTTTTTTTTATTTTTTTTTGGTACATTATGGAATGTGATTTTTAACAAGTTCTCGTTTGACCCAGCCAAAAGTTAACCAAATAGGATCAATGAGAATTATTTTATTAATGGGGATGGTCGTCGCAACCGTCCTAGCAACAATAATTTATTTATTATTTTTATTTTTTAAATATGAAAAATAAAGACCAATAAAAATTGTGCATCTTGTGATGCAATTTGATTGGCCCATTTCCATTAAAAATAATGAAAAGAAATTTTTCATTCTCTTTATTATAAAAAAATTATTCTCTCACTTTCATTTACTTGAAATACTACATAATTAATATATTAATATAATTATTAATTATGAAGGTAATAATTATCCATCAATATTTATAATTAATTAATTATTAATGGAAATTTTGTAATAATATATTAATAGATATTTAGTGTAATGGATTTATATCAATTTTCGTATTTTTTTGTGAAGCATGAGTGGAGTTGTGTATATCCATTAATAAAAATGTTCTGTAAATCATTAATTGATTTACATAAAAAATGTAATCAATTAATTGATAAATCTATATATGAAAATTGATTATAAACTAAATACTTATTAATATATTCATACATAAATTTTTCATTAATGATTAATTAGTTATTAATATTGATTATAGACTAAAGAAAATGGGTTAAGAATGATTTCATGTATTGGGATTTTTAGGTTTTCTTTTTTCAGGGACGAAATTAAAAATTAGCATCAGGTATAAAAACCGTAAGCCAAACACAAGCAAGCATCTGGCAATTTTGTCACAAGCATTTGGTAATTTCCCCAACACAAGTCGTAATTTGTTAACCACGTATGAGTTATGACTGTAGATTATAATGTTATCACGGTGGTAGACGATAAGGAATGATTTGGTAATTTTTATTTCTTTTATAAGGATCAAATTAATTTTTTTTTATATAGAAACTATAATAAAAATCATCGTTACAAATTGGAATTAAAGTACCGTAAAGGATGTCTTGCATGAAAACGAATAGACAAAGAACAATAAAAGGTGACCTGAAAAATATGCTACCCAACTTAAGACATGCCCATAGACGAAACTGTCAAACCAAGGAAGAAACAAAGAGAGATAATACTTGCATTTTTGTTGAATTTTTACAACAAAGAGTATTATAAATAGCAGTGTTTTAAAACTTTGTCTGATTATTGACTTGGTCGAAGTACAGAGTTATTGAGTCATTGGTTCAATAATCCTGAAATAAATTAAAATTATAAAAACACCATGATTTCTGCCTCAAACAACGTCGTATTGGACTTATTGCAAATAACATATTTGCAGTGACGGCAAAAAAAACGAATCCTATAAGAAAATTATCAATGGGCTTCAAACTATAAATTGGTTCTCAATGATGACAAATATTATATAATTCTAACTCTAGATCATACCTTAATATTGGATTAAAATTGCAATGTAAGCTAAATGCACCTTTAATGCCTTCACATAACACAGATAAACTAAATCATAATAACAAATGATAGACATGAAATATACACTAAGGAGAAATTGTCCAACGTTGAAATGAGACCATTAGTGTTTATTCTAACTTAACTTCTTGAGATCATTTTAAGATGCAACTAAATTACACAAAAGGACTATACTAATCAAAAATACCTTGTTATTTTCACCTTACCTTCTAATCATATTTACCCCAAAATATGAGCATGATTTAATTCAAGAATTCTTAGCAACTAAAAAAAAAAGTTTTACCAAAAAAGAGAAGGTCAACTAGTCTAAACCAGGTCATTAAATCGTCGGGTCAACTGGTTTAAATCGAGCTGACTAACTGTAGAACTGATCTAAATGATCGCTCAAACTGAAATATCTACTAAATCATTGATACCCAAGTCGACCCAATCGGTCTAAACCTTTCAAACTGAGTTCTTTGGATATATATAGTTTATTCATTCATCACTGTCACATATTTTACATAACAAAAAAGGTTCTTTGGATATGACATACTTTATTCATTCATCACTATCACATATTTTACATAACAAATTGGATATCACATACTTTATTCATTGATCACTGTCACATATTTAGTATGATATATAATTGTCATGGCTTTTTGACACTTTTGTCTTTCATTAATTAATTAATAATTATTTTGCCCTTTATTCAAAATTATCTACCAATATGTCCCTCTTTAATCGATTAAATTGAAGATTTAATCGATTAAATGGTCAAAACTGGAAAAAATGATTGACTTGAAGATTTAATCGATTAAATCTCCCTCTTAATTGATTAAATCAGACTTCTCCAACGACGGCTAAGGGTGCATGTTAAATCTTTAATCGATTAAATTGGGAGATTTAATCGATTAAATCTCGAGTCAACCATTTAATCAATTAAATATTCAAGTTAATCGATTAAAGAGGGACAAATTGGTAGATGGTTTACAATAAGGGGCAAAATGATTATTAATTAATTAATGAGGGACAAAAAGGTAAAAGCCTAATTATCATACTAAATAATGTTAGTAAAATAAAATAGTTTATTTTTATTATTTCAACATGTGTAAATGACATGTTAACAAAGTCTTTATTTTACTAAGAAAATGTCGTTTTTTCAAAATAGTAATATTAAATCAGGACTATACAAAACAAATGTTTAATACCACAACTAACTTCTGCACCAAAAATTATTTATAAATGAGGAGTTGTACTTTTACATAGAGATTTTTATTACATTATTTTTAACTCACTGAAAAATAATAAAATTTAATTCTAATGTATCAAAAAAAAAAAAATCTAATTCTAAATCACGGCTTGACATGCACGACACAAAGGAATTTCAAATCACTACCGTTGATTTTGCACGTACCCCACGAAAATCCCATCTGAGCCGTCAGATCCGAATTTCAACGACCAACATGTCTTACGTGGCAATTTAACTGTATTTAAAATCCGCATTTGAAGTCCGAACTATAAATTATCTTAAATAATCCCAAAGTCACTAAGTTACTGTCAGTGGAAGGAGGAGAATGATACCCGCAAAGATTAAGCTCTGAATCTGTGAGTTTCTACTCTTTGATTTCTCCTCTACGCATCGTTTTATGTTGAAAAGTTTGCATCTTTATATTTTCTGGAGTCAATTGTTGTCTGGGGTGGGGTGATTGAGGTGAGGAATTTTTAGGGCTTTGAATTGAAAGAGAAAACAAAAAACAAAATAATTGGGACTTTCTTTACTCTAATTTGATTCTGTGGATTAAGTTTGACATTGAAGGTTGTCCCAGGGTGTAATTAAGAAAAATTCTTATATTTTTTTTGTTAGTTTCTGTCCATGGCTGTGCTGTGATGTTGAGAATTTTGTTTGGAGTTGCATGAATAGGGTTACCCTTTACATGGGTGTGCTGGAAGTTTTTGATTTTCTCTGGAACTAATGCAAAATGAATATTCACAGTTGAAATTTATTTTTTCTGTTTAATTATTCCTCCTTTTTAGCTGGATAGTGCTGTTTATCATGTTGACTTTTTTTCCCCCCTTATCAACTGCATTTCTTTGTTGGTTTCGTGATGCGGGTCAATTTTCATGCTTTTATTGCAATTGATTGTCATGGGATAAATAAATTCAGTTACTTTTTATTATTATTATTATTTTTGGTGCAATAACCGAAAGATATAATTTGGCTCACTGTGGTTCGATTTTAAAATTGTTGCCTGATTGATATGTCCTTCCATTATAGCCAAAAGGAATATTTTTACATGTGATGCTAGGGTTAAAAATACTGCTGGTTATGGAATCTTAACAAGTTTCTTTCTTTCTTTCTTTCTTTCTTTTTAATGTTTTCCCCTCCTTTCTTTGCACATTGCTGTTTGACGTAGTTATACACCATGATTTTTTTTATCTCCAGGTAGCTTCAGTTGTCCTATTTAATAGTGTAGTGGAGAGAGTGCTTATGAAGGAGTAATTTTGTATATTTACTGTAAATAATATCAGTATGGGTCAAGAATCAGTGAATGAGGTTTCTAAGAGTGATTCAAATGGCGAGATCTTGCCGGAGAAAACTTTGGATGAAGTTATTGAGAAGAAGGTCTTGGAAAATGATGGAAGAAAAGTCTTGGAGAATAATGGAGTCAAAGAGTTGAAAGAAAATAATGTAAAGGAAATTAAAGAAGATAAGAAATCTGACGGTGTGGAAGAGGTAGAACAGGATAAGGGAGTTGGTTTTGTGGAAGAAGTCAATGAGGATAAGAAAGATGATGGGGTAGAAGAAGTCAAAGAGGACAAGAAAGATGATGGGGTTGAAGTAGTAAAAGAGGATAAGACAGATGATGGGGTGAAAGAAGTAAAAGCGGATAAGAAAGATGATGGGGTGGAAGATATAAAAGAGGATAAGAAAGGTGATGAGGTGGAAGAAGTAAAGGAGGATGAGGAAGTTGATGGTGTGGAAGAAGTAAAGGAGAATATGGAAGTTGATAGTGTGAAAGAAGTAGAAGAGGATGAGAAAGATGATGGATCTGAGAATAAGAAAATGGATGAAGGTGCTGAGGTTAAGGAAACTATGGCTGATAAAGAAGAAAATGAAAAAGAAGAAGCCGAGAAATCGGAAGTTGCTGCTATGGAAGTAGAGGGTAGCATTAAAGAGGGGGAGGAGAACAATGAAAAGGAGAAAATTGAAGCAGAGATGGAGGAGGATGAGAATAATATTGCTAAGTCAAAAGAAGAGAAGGTAGGAGATAGTAAGGATGAGAAAGGATCAAAGAAACGTGGAAGAGGGAAGATCAATGGGGAGAAAGTGAAAGAGAAAAGGAAGTTAGTGAAGGAGATTGAGCCTAGGACTCCTATTATTGATCGTCCTGTACGAGAAAGGAAATCAGTTGAGAGGTTGGTAGCATCAATCGAGAAAGATGCGACCAAAGAATTTCACATTGAAAAGGTATTCATTTTTAGTTTCCCATTTGAAATATTTAGCCTTAATTATGCATTTTATTATAACTTAATTTGTTTAAAGTTTCCCCTTCAAATTGCAGGGTCGTGGTACACCTTTAAAAGATATACCCAATGGTATGCTGCTTTCCTTTGTTTGAATTCTTCATCAATAATGTTTTATTAGTTCTCTTCTATATATACTGTAGCCTGCAGAATTTAATCTAGAGCATAATAATGTCCTTGCACAAGCATTCCACACTCTTCCTGGGTTTATGACAAAATCTTGATGTAAAGGTGTAAGAATTGAAAGTAAAAGAATATCACGCAAGAAATACTTGGTCAGATAAATATTATTTCTGTAATTTTCATATTATGTTTACGAATGTGGCTTTTGTAGAGATGGTCTATTGAAGATTTTGAAATTATAGCTGTATCATGACCCTTCAATGATTATGTGAGCCAAGGCTATATGTGTATCTTTTCCCCAAATATCAACCCGTTCACACCCTGCTGTTTGTCACAAGTTGATGATTCTGGCTTATTATATAAGCCGTTACCATGATTATGATATTGGAAAGTCCATTAGTTTGCGCTGATTTAATTGTCTCGTTAACTAACTGTATGATTCCTCGTATAAAATGCTTTATGCCTGTGTCCTTTTTTATTTATTTATTTCGATATGTTATGCTCTGGACGCATGTTTCGGCTTCTTCATAAATCTAATTAACTTTATGACTCTTGCATTTTCTTCTTTAGTGGCATTTAAATTATCTCGAAGGAAGATTGATGATACTTTCAAATTGCTCCATACAATCCTCTTTGGACGGAGAGGGAAGGTATGTCCTACGTCATTAACTATCTGTGTTTTCCAGTTTCAATTGTTTTAGACTACCCATATTGAGTTTCTTTATTTTTTTGTATTATGCCACTTCTATAGTTCAGGATATAGGATAGCGAGCCAGATTGTTAAAAAAGTTAAACACTTGAACTTGCCCGGGATGTTTGGGATTGTAGAATTGACAATTCACACTTGTGTTATTATGCTTCCTTGTGACTCCTTTTTTACTCTTTTGCAGGCAGTTCAGATCAAAAGTAATATATCAAGGTTTTCTGGTTTTGTGTGGCATGACAATGAGGTAATTTATTACCTCAAATAAAGTAAAAAATAAAATGAATCAATACTCGTCGCATGCAACTATGTCATTTGTAACAATTGTTGGGTTTCGTTGATTTGTTTGTTATCATTTCTTTTACCGACTTCTTGCTTTTCTGCTTGAAGTCCTCGTCTGCCAAAGCTTCTAAAATCCAAATATTGTTACTGCAGGAAAAGCAAATGATTAAAGTAAAAGAAAAGTTTGACAAGTGTAATAAAGAGAAGTTACTGGAATTCTGCGATGTGCTTGACATAACACTTGCCAAGGCAACTGCAAGGAAGGTTTGTTGGTTTAGCATTGTTGATGCATTTGTTGTGGATGAAATCTTAATAAATTTACAGATAGGAATATACTAATTTTCACCATGCTGAGTGTGCAGAACAAAAGAAAGGATTTTATTGTGGGTGGATTTGATATTAATTATAGGTATCAATCATGGGTGATTCTGTAATTACGAGGTTGATTAATGGGTGATTGATTCTATAATTATGGGTGATGATTCCATAGTTAAGTGTGATTGATTCTGTATTTGTGTAGAATCTGTTATAAATAGGAGTGAACAGAAGGTCATTAAGCAGAATATTGAGTGGTCAAAAATTGGGAGAGATCAGGTGTGTCTAAATGCGAGGTTCTGCTGTATTTTGTCATTATTTTATCTTATTTTGAGTTATTTGATACATTGTACTTGGGATTTATCCCTATTTCGATATACCAAAATTTCTGGTTCCTGTCAGTGTGGTTTTTATGCCAAAAACCTTTTTGTGAAAATTATTTAGTACCCTTTTGACGGGTATTTGTTTTAGCTTTTTTTCTCCTTAGAAGTTTAGCCAAACATATTTTTGTAATGGCTCTAAAATCATAAACAAAGCTTTTCTCCTTTAATGAACATATAAAAAAGCTAGAAGCTCAGGTGGGTTTTTTAAGATGTATATCAACTTTTTAGAAAAAGCTAGAAGTTACTTTACCAAACAACTTATTTTTAGCTTGAGCTTTAATATAACTTTTAAACTAAATTTTTTACATAATCACCAAAGATCTTTTAGCTTGATTTTTTAAGCTTACTTTTAACTTTGGATTAAACATAGTTTTTAGCTTAAAAAAAAGGCATGCCAAACAGGCTCTTAATTCCTTTTCAAAATCTGAACCTTTTTACTTTATGTCTTGTGAACATGAGAATGGTAATCCTACATGTTCCTGCTTTAGTATGTGCATGCCTCAAGACAATCTTCACTGCTGTTGATAATAATCATAATGCACTTCATATATGTTGATGCCAGTAAAGGGAAGCCTTTTGATTGATATTGATCTATTGTTGCTAATAAACTTCCACGTATGCAGGAAGAAATTGTTGCTAAGCTGATAGACTTTTTGGTTTCCCCTCATGCAACCACAGATGTGCTACTTGCAGAAAAAGAGAAGGTATACTTTATTTTCTAGTTTTTAAAATTTTCCACCTCATGATGTTATGGTAATTTCCTTTTACCAAGGAAACGATGTTATGGTAATTTCCTTTTACCAAGGGAACTATGTTTCTGGTGCAATATATTCATGTTATTTATGTTTTTCTTCATATCAGCCAAGTAAGGGAAACAAGCGCAAGCGTGTTGCAAAACGAGGTTCATCAAGATCTGGGACAACAACTTCAAGACGTTCTGCTAAGGTAGTATCTCATTCCCTTAACTGCAGGAATGTGCAGTGTGAAATGTGATTTAAGCAATGCACTATAATGTGTTGCTATCTCATAATATCATAAGTATATTTTGGAATAGTTTGAGTACCTCAGTGATATCTTAAGAATAGTTTTAAATTTTTTACTTTATTTTTTTTGTACATTTCATAATTTGTTTCCTTATTTAATTATGATATGACATATGAGTCTTCTATTAGTATAACTAAGGGTTAGTGCTTTGTCTTTTGTATTATCACCATATCACATTAAATCAATGTCAATTTCAATTTATCCAGTCTCTATTTTCTCTTTTCCATCTTTCTTTACCTAAATCCCTGTAATTTCAACATGGTATCAGAGTGATACCATTCTTTGTGACTTGTCCCATTACTATTTTGTAGTCAAGTTTCCTATAATACAGAGCTCCACTTTATTTCCATGATTACCCCCCCCCCCCTCTTTCCCCCTTCTGGCACACTCTTTGGTTCATCTTTGTTTAGGGCTGTTCTACTTGCCACTTCCACCATCTTCTTTGGAATCCTTAGATTGGCTCGCCCCTCTGCCATGTAGTCTTTTTGGTTTGGCAACCTTCTCTTTGTCAGTCCATTGTTGTGCTACCGTTCGATGACTTTTTTGGTAAGATCTCTTACCAGCGACCCTACCATATTTTTTCGCTTTCAAATTGGTTCTCTCCCAAATTCTCAGGCTAAATTACCTTAACATGCACTCAGATATACGTTTCTCTTTCGCTCTCCTCAGCTCGTCAAACTGCTATTAGTGTAGATCTGTCGTTTTCTGATTGTCAACTCCACCAGTTGTCCTTGCCATCGTCTTCAACAGCCTCCAACCATTCAACCCACCAAGCCACACCGCTACCAAAGCTTCCATGCACTGCCACAGCATGTCAAACCGTTGTTCTATTCTTCAGTCGGTAAGGGCACGTCCAGCCACTATTTCAGTTTCTGTTTGTGTCATTTGAATTGCCTCAATGTACTCTATCTAGATTTGGCTTCACCTCTAACCGAAACTGTTTAGGCAGCAGGTTGTTCAGACCCACCTTATATCAATTTTTTTAGATGCACTGTTCACATGTTACTTTCCATGCTGTTGTTTGTAATGTTGCTGATGCCAATCTCTTGGCTTCTCGTTTTGTTCTGGTGGTTTGTCGTCTCATTCTCATCATCGGTAGTTGTAGTCTTGTTGCTCAACGTCACTACCCTTTGAGTTCTTTTGTCTCCTAATTTACGCATCCTTTGTTTTAACAAAAAACTGGCTTAATAAATGACTAATTTCTCCTATTCAACAAAGTCATTTGTTAATCTTCCCATTACACAAATCTTCTATGGCCATCTTCCCATTACTCAAATCTTCTATGGCCATCGCAAACTCTCACTCTTCTAATTGGCTCTTTTCCAGTGCTGGCATAGCATTGAGTGGAAGAAAGTTGGAAGTGTTCTGGCCTCTGGCCGGGCCTTGGTCCTAGAAGCTGTCTGGTCCTAGGGCTTTGTCCCAATCATGGTCTAATCCTAACCTTTGTCCCAGACTCGATCTTGCCTCAACGTTTGTCCCAACTCCCAAATGTGGTCAAGCCCCCTACCTTTCTCGCGGACACTATCTAACCTCGGTATTCTCTGGGGCAGTCTGGACCTATTGTCTCTAAACCTAGACACTTTTGCACTGTTTCCATTTTCAAAATTTTCCAATGTTTGAAGCTTCCTAATGCTCTTCTTGATGAGCTTGTAGAGGTTTTAGTTCTCGTTGTGCATAATTATTTGCTAGGAAATTTCAATTGACAAGTACAAGGATTGCTCTCATTCCTACCCTTGCTAGTTAGGGTTTAACGGGAAGTGGGTTTTTAATCATTCTGGCGAAGCAAACATTCCAACCAACTTTTCATGTTGATGATTCTGAACCATCTTGTTGATTTGTCTTTTTAATAATGATAATCTATTTGACGCCTCTAGCATTCCTGAGTTGCCTTTCCAGCCATGTTTTGTGGAGCCCAAAATATATTGTTTGGTTATTTTTCCTTTTTAATGGGTTTTTCATTACATGCTTGAAGCTTCGTAAGCTTTAACTTGAGGGGGAGGGTTAGAATATATAGAGGATATCTCTTAATATCATGATTTTATCTTAGGAATAGTTTAGACATTTCTTTATACTTTTATGTTTTCTTTTATTAGTTAATTGTAATTAGGAGTCTTCTATTCCTATGAAAAAGGGTTAGCCTTGTCTTTTATATCATCATCATACCACATTAAATCAATATCATTTTTAGATTATTCATTCTCTATTTTCTCTTTTCCTTCTTTCTATACCTAAATACCCTACAATTTCAACAAAAGTTAATTCCTGCAACTCGTTACCATGGGTTGTTCTTTTGCAAGTTAATGACTAGTTATTCTCTTCCCATGATACCAATTGAGTATAGTTACATAATTTAGTTATAATGCTTTTTTATCAATTTGTTTGCATATTAGTGGTACGTTATTAATTTTCTTATCTTTGATATAATTTGTTAATTTTGATGATGAGCAGATCATAGCTTTTCCGCAGGTAGTAAATGAATACTGGACTGTAATTAGCTTATACGACTATTACCCTAGAAGCTATTAATATTAGAATTCTTATTATGTTAGGAGTCTTGTTAGGTTAGTCGTCATATTGGGCTAAGACACGGAGTGGGCTAGTGGTAAGAGGCTTGAGTAGTTTGCATAAGGTCTTAGGTTCAAATTTGTGTGACCATTGTACCCCCACAAAAGAAAATAGTTTCGTTGGTCTGGGCTTGTAGTAGTAGTACTGGTACTTGATATAAATATTAATAAATTGGTATCACATTTCATGTCAATCTAATCCCATATTATTCAAAATATAATATCAACTTAAGGCATTTGTGTAGCTTTAGTTTGTTTTTACTGGAGCTTCTCCTCAGTTATTTGGGTCTTCTCAACTTTTTGGCAAATAATTTTCAGAGTCGAAAGAAAAATGAAGATTCTTCTGTAGTGGAGAGAAAGAGTACAACTGACACAGAAGATGAGTCAGAGGAGGAAGAGAAAGATGAAGAACATGAGGAGGAAAATGAAAATGGTGTTCCTGACAAATCGGAGGATGAAATGCCAGAGAAATCTGAGAGTGAAGCTAAAAGTGAATCTGAGAGTGAATCTGAAGATATGAAAAAAATGAAAAAAACTTCTAAAACATCATCCACAAAGAAAGAATATGCTGCAAAAGGTAAAAATGAGAAAATTACAGTCACAAATAAATCTCGCTCACCACCAAAGAGAACACAGAAGAAATCATCATCTGCCGGCCCAAAGGTTGATGATTATAGTGATGGAAGTCCTAAGGTCTTTTCAAGGAAGAAGAAGAACGAAAAAGGAGGAAAACAGAAGTTAACTCCAACTAAGTCTACCTCCAAAGAGAAAACTGGTAGATATCCTGAGCTCTCCTTCCCTGCTGTCATTATTTCGATGAAAAAACTTCTGATTTTAATACTTCCTTGTTCCGGTCTAGTGAAAAACAATACTTTTTAGCTTAAATCAAGCATTCAGATGTGGTTACTTGTTAGTCAACATTATATTTTTCCTTTTCCATTAGCTTAAATGTAAATGCTTTTAATTGAAAAACTGATAGTGTTTTACGTATAATCAGCTTCATTCCATGTACTTTATAAGACATCTCTCTGTTGTATTTAGCAGAAAAGGTTGCTAAAGGAAAGGGCAAGAAGAAAGAGAAATTGAGCCCCAGTGATGATCAACTGCGTGATTCAATATGTGAAATTCTCAAAGAAGTTGACTTCAATACGGTAAGATGTTGGAATTAAAAATTTATGTAATTCAACGGTTAGTTAATTTTTAATATTTGATACATAGATAAGGCATTGCTAAACTATTTCTAAGCTTATCATTCTATTTCATAATATATCTTTCTTAAGTGACGTACTGTCAAAATCCTCCTTGACAGCTCCATAAAAAACTCTTAGGTTAAGATATCTTGGCCTTTTCTATGTCAGAATTAATAGAACAACCAAATTAAGATATTTATTTACCTTTCCACCAATTTATGTATGGATTGAGCATGACTCAGTAACATGTGGGTAATTGATGCTTTAGTTGGTGATGAACTCTCTTTAAATTAGTAATATGGATGATAGAACTTGTGTATTGTATCTAGTATCTTCTGAATATTTTTTGTTTTCCAAAATTGAAAGTCTTTTTCTCTTTTGCAGGCCACATTTACTGACATTCTGAAACAACTCGGTATTTACTATTCTTTTTCCCCCTCCATTACTAATCGCTATACTTTTTTCAATTTAAACCATGAGAGATGGTGCAACTTCTATGCCTTTTAAGAGCAAGTTCTTTGAATTTTCCAGTCATTGATGTTATCCTTGGACTTGAATGACATATTTCACCGTAGCTCTTTCCCTTGAATGATCTAGGATATTTAATTTTCATGATCTATAGATTGCTTTATGGTCTCATCATTTACACAAATATGAACATTGGAAATGAAGGAATTTTGCAATTCATGAAAATGAAAATAAGAACATGACTTGAAATAAAATTAGGTGCCTAACAAAATTGCTCATTATTTTTCAGCTAAACAATATGATATGGATCTCAACCCAAGAAAGGCATCTATAAAGATCATGATTCAGGAAGAGTTGACAAAACTAGCTGATGAAGCAGATGAAGAAGAAGATGGAGAAGAGGATGCTGAGAAAGACGAGACCCCATCTACTGGCCAGGAGGTTGTAGCCTGACTGAGGATTAGACATGACTGCTTGGAGATAGGTTTAGCAATGTATACTTTAACCCTTGTTGTTATGCTTTGTATGTACATTTTGCTGAGTAAAAGTTGCTGTAACTTATTCATAGCATCCATCCAGTCTGAACAGAACATACTAGGATTTGTCAAAATTTTGTGCAGGCTTTTGGTTGGCTGTGCCTGTATGCAGCTTTCTTGTGTACACATCAACAGAATTTGTAGGGTTTTACTATCCTTGAATATTACTGACCAATACTAGTAGTTTTTCAACAGTCTGTCTTGTTTAATAAAATATTTGGACCTATGAAATTGTCACCTTTTTGTGCATATTGATAACATGTACTGATGTTGATTGATCATTTTTTTTTATCTCTATATATTTTGTTGTTGTATCATTTATGTCAAGGCCATGCAACACCATTTGTAATCTGGTGTCACAAGGTGACTCGTTCACAGCAGTGTAGTGTAGCTGCAATACATGCAGTGCAGGAGCGTTGATCCCCATGTTTGTGTCTTGTGGTGGCACTAATTATTCCATCTTCGATGCTGTTACAATTTCAATGTTATCCCTAGATTTTGTAAGTTATGCCTTTCCCTTAGCATACCTAAATGGTACCCAAGGTCTTTTGAAAAGGAACTGTAAATTGTGAAGAACATACTCAAGGAATAATGTAAGTGGAGCAAGTCAAAAAGGTTCCTCCTAGTTAGAACCCTTCTCCACTGAGACTAGTGGAGCACCAAGAAAGTCTAATTATAGACATCTAAAGAAGCACTATCTAGATTTAGATCAAAATTTTAGGGGGTTTTTGTTAAAAAAAAAAAATCAAACCCCATCCAAAATTGTAATCAAACCGCTCGTGTACCATGCAAACCAATTTTTTACTTGCAAACATGATTCCAAGTTTTAACAAACGTGCACTCAGTCTGAGTTACTTTGAAAGAGTATATAGGTTAAAGTTATCAGATTTTTTTTCTTGTTCAAACAAGTCATTAGACTCGTGTTTGATACAGCCAAAAAAGTTGCTTTTAGAAAACTAAAGAGAGTGAAGAAGAGAGCATTAGAAATTAAAACAAAGTCCATAGGTCGGTGACCCACTTGGCAGCCCTAATAATGTTTAATAGTGTTGTTTTTGGCACCATTCAAGTTGCTTACATGCAAAGTCATTATGCATGTGACCACTGACTGTAACTAATGCCACCAATTTAAACACTCGAAGGCCCCAATTATTAATTAATTAATTAATATCTTTTTGAGCTCTTTGGGAGATTTTCTTCATTGTTTATTCAAGCTGTCGACCAATTGTTGATTCAGTTTAATGTACGAGGTTGGTATAATTAAGGGCAAAAACCTTATTTATTCAATCAACCCTGTTACAACTTAGTTAAAATAACCAATTCAATCTAATAGCTTAAACGGTTAAATAGATATTACATTAATAATTTTATATTATATTTTTTTGGAACGTGGAATATTTCAGACATTAGCATAGTTTTTAAATAGTTGATTGTGAACATTGAATATTTCAAAAGAAAAATGTTTGTTATACATTTTATATTTCTTTCACATTAAAAATAAGTGTCACAATCATGATATAAATATGGGTTTAATGTATCTTCAATCAATGGAGATAATCTATCTCCAATGAATTCAAAATAATGTCATTTTGAGATTGAATAAAAGATATTTTTATAATTTTAATTTATTTTAAGGTTATATTAATTTTTATCATTATAATTTTATAATTTTTCAACTCCAAAATAATATTTTTTTAGGCTTATTGAAGATAATTTTATCTTCAGTCACATAAGAAACATTAAATCCTATAAAAATATAATAAAAAATAAAACCAACGATAATAAAATCAAAGAAATGAATACAGGTGTACTAGGCTAAATGCATGTACTATATTGGATCTTACAAGAACAAGGCATTGGTATCCAAGTACGACCAATACTTCAAATCAACCTTTTTTTTTTCCAATTAAAGCAAACCCTCCATTCATCAAAGGAGTGGTACAAAGAGAAGCTTTCATGTCAAAATCAAGGCCACCATGAAGGGTAAGATTCTCAATTAATTGCCAACATTGTTTGGCAAGCAATGAAAGTTTGAGTCCCTCTTAAGTTCTTTTTATTTTAAAATTATGAATTCAACCAATCAATAGTTGTGAAAGAATAGTCAAGATAATTACATGAGTCTTGTTTGTGAGTATATAAAGGTAAGTTAATATATAAGGATGGATTTGAAAAAATAATTATTCAATAACAGCGTGAAAAGAAAAATGAGAAATGCAGGTATTTTTTTGGAAAAAAACATTAAGAAAAAGCTAAAAATTGTTTATTTAATTTATAAGAGATTTAAATGCAGTCAACCAGTACACATGTTTATATTTTGAAAGAAATAGGAGAGAGTCCAACTCAGACCCGAGCACGTGCCAGATACCAAAGCAACGGTCCAGATCATGGAGCACTCACCAATCAAAGGCTCCAAACGCGTCCGTACAAACCTACACTTATCGACTAACAACGGTTCACAAAACGCCACGTGGACAAGATAAAGCGTTATTAACCCTTCGGATCCAACGGACCCTGCTCATTACCTCCCAAACCGTCCTTTCCGTTCCGTTTCACCTATCCCCTCCACGCCGGAATCACCGTCACTCGCCGCCGGCGACCATATCCAATCCAAACCTTGCGACGACATCGAATTCTAGTTCTGCAGAAAATTGCACGATTCAGTGATTTCAGATTACGAGGAGTTTTTTCGACGGCGTTTTAATTTCCCGCGGAATCTCCGAGTCAAACCGATTCCTGTCGAGTTCGTGACTCGTCCGCGTTGGACTCGGATTCTCAACAATTCCCAATAGAATCCGAACATCCGACGGAAATCGCACCGAGCACTGAATTGCAGATTCTGAGGAGTTTCTGCTGCAAACAGTGCTTCAATTTCACGCGGAACCGAGTCAAACCTATTCGAGTTGAGTTCGTGACTCGTCCATGGCGGACTCTGATTTGAATTTTACAGTTAAGTGATATTTTTTAGCACTGACTTTCAGATTCAGAGGAATTTGTCGTTTCTCTCTGCAAAACAGCGCTTCAGTTTCACGCGGAACCGAGCCATTGGAAGGTCGTCAATGGCGGACTCGGACAACGATTCCGGCGGGGCGCAGAACGCCGGCGGAGCGAATGCTCATAGCAGAGAGATGTCGCTGCGGGAACAGGACCGATTCTTGCCGATAGCGAACGTGAGCAGGATCATGAAGAAGGCCCTGCCGGCGAACGCAAAGATCTCGAAGGACGCGAAGGAGACGGTGCAGGAGTGCGTGTCGGAGTTCATCAGCTTCGTCACCGGCGAGGCCTCCGACAAGTGCCAGCGGGAGAAGCGCAAGACCATCAACGGCGACGACCTTCTGTGGGCGATGACCACGCTCGGCTTCGAGGACTACGTCGATCCCCTCAAGGTCTACCTCCAGCGCTTCAGAGAGATGGAAGGGGAGAAGACCATGGTGGCGCGTGACAAGGACGCGCCTCTTGCTCCTGATGCTAACAACAGTCTTTTCGAGAGTGGTAGTTATGGTAGTGCTGGTGGTGGGTTCATGATGCATCAGGGACACGTGTACGGTTCTGGTGGGTTCCATCAAGTGGACATGACTGGTGGTAGTGGCGATGCTTTTATGGTTAAGGATGGGCCTGGTTATCATGGGCCTGGATCTAATGCAGGTAGGCCCAGATAGGTGTATGGTGTGACCGAGTTTTATTTATTATTCATAATCATAAAAAATGCAAGATTTGTAGTAGTGAGTAGTGAGTAGTGACTAGTTTGGGGATTTGTAATTTATTCTGATATCATTAGCGATTGACTGGCATTCAGAAAAGTAAGATTCACTCCTAAGCCCAACAATCTGTAACTTTTGACTGTTGTATCATAGAAATTGTGTTTCTTTGTATTGTACAACTTTACTATTTGAGCCACAAACGGTCTTTTTTTTTTTAATTTTTAATTTACAGGTTATGGAGTCCAATTAAATTCTTAGTTTCTGAGAAATGGTAAAAAATTTACTACTAGTGACAGTATTTTTTTATTTTTTTTTTGTGGCCATCTAAAGTCATCTTTGGTGGTACATTATCTTGAACAAAACACCAATGTAGAATTTTTCAGAGCTGGAATTAAGGAACGCATATGAAGAACGAGTGCCCAAGAACTTCTAACACTATGAAGAAACTTGTTGCATATAAATGAGGTTAGGGGTCACGGCAAATTGGATTGACTGATGCATTGGATATATACATCGCTTTGACGTTGGGCTTTATGTTGAGGGCTTCTTTCATTTTTTCCTCAGTGCCCTTTCTTATGTACCTTTGTGTATGTATCTAAACAGAATTCACTAGGTTATCTTTTAAATTTAAACCCTTCCCTTAAAAGACTAGATGGCGTTAGAGGCAAAATATGTATAACAAAATCAGTCAACCAGTAATGGGAACATTCAATCTCACTGGGAACACGGGAAACAGAATAATAACCGTAAGGTCATAGATAACCCCATCCTGGAGAACATTATGAACATATGAACGGTACTATAAAATACTTCAAATTAGTCAAGGCACTCAAATTAGCTTGTATTGAGGTAATTTGATTTCATTACTCATACAAATACACAATGATACGATTCCGACACAACAAAATTTTCATATTAACTAATATAAGCTCTCTATAAGCATGCTTTTCAACAGAAACCATCATACACAGGAAGCATAAACACAGCAGATATCGCAACTAGAAGCTTGAACCGACCCCTTCTCATTGGTTTCTAGAGCGAATTTGGTCCATATTTTGAAAGAAAAAGGAGGAAAAAAATAAACGAAAATAACAAATGGATTTTCTTTATAAACTATTTTGAAGAGTTGAAGAGAGAAGAATAAATAAGGGATTGCAATAACTGATCTCATTTCAATGGTTTCTAGAGTAAATTCAATCCTCACTTTGGAAGCCAAAATAAGGTAAGGAAAAGAAGTAAATGAATATAATAAATGGATTTATAAAAAATAACCAACATTTCTTTGAAGAGGGAAAAGTTAGGCATACTCTATTAAAAGACCAAGCATTCAAGACACAATATAGGGATACAACAGACATCAACACAATGAAGCCCTCCAATTTCAACTGTTGGATTTCATTTGACTAGTTATAAAGAAGAAAAGAACTGGAGATGGATTGGACCTTTATTGGAAAAGTAAATATCAATATATACAAGAAAACATGATATACAATTCTCCAGATTTGAATAATTACAGGGATTGAATGGTTAGCTCTCTACTTCGTACACAATATTTGCATGCTCAACCGCTACTAACAAAATGTTAGGGAGAAAACATCAAAAAAACAAAAGTGGGAAAAAAAAATGATACAACAGCGAGCCAATAAAAAACGGCACATTACCAACATCCTCTGCTAAATCCTAGTACATCATTCAAACAGTAAGTTCTAAACAGTCTGCCACATTTCAGACTTCAGGAAGTTAATCCCATTACATCAACATCGTTGGTTTAATCATGTGCTAATAACTAAAAACATAAATGCAAATCAAAAGCTAATAACTTCATAGCAGAAGTTCCACTTCTCAACGTAAGAAAATGATTGACATGACTTGAATCACCAATATCGAAGGCATTTGGTCCCCAAAGCAGCCCAGAGTTTGAATGAACAGTTTGCTTTCTCAAAACAATTGTTCCTACATAGCAGAAGCCCATACCAACAATAGTTGCAATTAAGAAGGAATGAACCTAAAGAAGAAATAGCAGGTATAATTCACATAAAAGGAAAAAAGAATACTATTATCGCAATTCAGTTAAACAGCACACTGGAAAATTTATAAGTTTTGTGGGTAAGAAAGGGAGTTGGAAAGAGAATATATATTACCCCCAGAAGCAAATAACACAATTTATCTTCGGACGACTGCAAACAAGAAGTTTTACACTATAGAAATGCATATAACTTCAGAATTCAACATCAACATCACCTTTATCCCAAACTAGCTGATAGTTGGGGTTTTGACATATGAATACAAATGAAAAGTACGAAGAAATCAAGGGAAAAAAAAGGATAAAAGAAAAAAATTTAAAAAAATATAAATAACACTAGAAATAAAAATATAGCAATAAAAAATTCAAAAGAAGAATAAAATACAATAAAGGAGGAGGGTTAGTGTTAAGTGTAGCAAGCCGGCAAAAAAGAAGAAGTTATATTTATGATTTGAATCCTTATGATATAACTTCAGAATTGCTTGGAAATATTGATGTTAGTATATCTACAAAATATTTTTATCTGAGTGAGAAAATGATACATAAAAGATTAGGATAATTGTGTTATTTCATTTTCAGGGATCTTATCTAGTTAGAAACCTATCTTATTCTCAGGGATTTTATCTTTAGTAAGTTATTTGTTCCATTAGTACTTTATCTTATTCCTAGTAAAAATTTGGGTTAATGCCTTGTCTTTTGTATCACATCATTGTCCACCATATCCATCTAAGAGAATATATAATTGGAAGTTTCCTTTCTTTATTTTCCTCCATTCCTACCTAAACCTTACAATTTCAACATGGTATCAAAGTGGTACCGTACTCTGTAACCTAAAACCATTAATTGTCCTCTGTCAAGTTCCAAGAAAAAGATAACTTTGGACTCCCAAGTTTGGTGTACATTGTTTCAACAATCAAAGCCTTTTCCCACAAGGCAGGCCCTGCTACATGGATCCATAATTATCAAACTCAGATTGCAGAAAGGAGTGGCTGACCCCAAAAATACTATAGCAGGATAGCAGATAGCAAAATGGCTGTTATATCGAAGAATTTAGATAAAAGTGGTCAATATGGGTGTGTTTCAGTGTCAATATGCCATGTTGTCCTTCATTTCAGCTTCCATTATGTGATTTGCATTTTTCTTCTTGGTTTGCCATTTCTTTAAGTGAATTTCTTGTTGACAGAATTGCCAAAGAAAGACAAAGGTGAAGGAAGAGAGAGGCAGGAATGAGAGATTGACTGGGAGAGAAAGAAGTGATTGAGAGAAGTAATATAATTTGAAATGTAACAGAATTTCAGATACGATAAACTACTCAAAAGATAACAGATAACTAATTTGAAATGTAGCTTTTGATAAGATAAACTGAACTATGATTAAGATAAACTAAACTAAAAAAAAAAAACCACTCCACGTTAAACCCCAACTAGCGAGGGTGGGGTGAGACAATCTTTGTACTCAGCCTTACCCCTGCATATATGCAATAATGCAAAGAGGCTGTTTTCCGGTTTGAACCCGTGACCTAGTTACAAAGGAATAGTTTTACCACTATTCCAGGCTCGCCCTCTTGTCGAGTAATATTCCTTTCCCCATTGAGAGATAAACTAAACTAAATAAGATAAATTATTTTATGATGTAACATTCCTTTCCCCATCGGGAGACTTGCCCTCAAGTCGAGTAATATCCAATGTTGGCTCACTTTCCCAACTAAAGTCCTTGTGCGCAAGGTCTTGCCATTGAATCAACTCTCATGATAACCCATTGGGTCAGAATAGCGAGCAACCTGTGAATGGATTAGGTGGATCCAGTTTGATAGTCATAGGCTATGAGTTGTCCTCCATGTCGCAAAGACCCTCCAAATATAAAAGGGACAAGCAGCTTTTGCATTGATGCCCGCAAACGAACTTCTTGTCACAGTGGAAGTATAGTCCTTTGTTGTGCCACGTCGATATCTCTTTGTCAGACATTTGATAGGATTAGGGTGTTGGAAGACATCACAGGTTGACGAGGGCAGTAGCTGAAATGACTAATTGCTAAGGTGAGGCTAGTTGAACAAAGACTCATATATGAGTGCCAACACAAATGCCATTCACAACAACCCCAATCATAATTTTCATTGCTGTGTTCATACCAGCCATAGTTTCAATTTTCAAGTTTTTTTTTTGGTCTCCTAAATTTTTTTGTTATTGGAAGCTTCCAAATGATTTTGGAGAAGTTTGAAAATTCTTGTGCTTGATTGCTTGCTAAGAAATTTCCATCACGCTTATGATCATTACAAACGTCTTGTAGAGTTTCTTTCATCCCTCTAGCATCTCCACCATCACTGAGTTGCTTTTACAGCCATGTTTTATGAAACTCGCTTTATATTTATGTTGTTTTCTTTTTAAATATTCATTCGTAACAAGCTAAAAGCTTAGTAAGCTTTAGCTTAAGGGGAAGTATTAGAATATCTACAATATGTTTTAGAGGGAGAACATAGTGAATAATATATTAGAATGGGTTATCTTATTATTAGGGATTTTATCTAATCTTTAGTAAGATATTTGTTCCCTTATTCAAATAGGATTAAAAGTCTAGTACTTAACCAAATTCCTTGTATAAATAGGGGATAGTTTGACCACCTTCCTTTCCTAAACACCATAATTTCAACATGGAAATCATTCAAGAATGGCCCTAACCTAAGCATATAATCCACCAATGTTTCTACACAAGTGTGACTTTAAAATATAAAACCATATTTCTTAACCCTTTTTCACATCCATGTCCAAAGATCATATTATAGCTTATGCATTTCTTAAGGGATCAACTTACGAAAACTATGTCTCAAACATGAGGAGGGATATTCTTACTACCAAAATTTTCTACTATCAACTCACTACCTATCTAATCACCATTGGATCAACATTTTCTCTTTTTTCAAAAACTTTTGAGCATTCTCTCTCTTTGATCCAATGATGATGAGATAAGTAGTGAGTTGGTAGTAGAAAATTTTGGTAGTAAGAATATCCTCCCTCCTCAAACATATACCTTAACAAAAGTATTCAAAAATATATTTCATGTAGGAGGTAATACACAATATTCTTGGGAAATTTAAATTTGAGGGAAAACAGGTTTACCAACTCCAGAAAGCTATGCAATTACAGATAATTAAAGCTTGAGTGTTTATATAATATATGCATACCACAAAATCATAATAATTTCTTCCACTAAAAACAAATGAAGCTCTTAATATATGGACCACTGATAAATACATCCATTCTCAATAGATTAAAAAATTGCAGATCTACCATCTACTCCTTATTAGAACATAATGTTTATACATCTACACTATCAACAGAAGGGGAAGTGGGAGCGGAAAAAACTGCAATGAAATGCCGGGCAAACTTGTTACCAGTTTGCACATAGTAGCTATGTAACCAGAATGGACTATTCGCATAGCTGACACCAGATTATAAACTCCTTTAGTTTGCTTAGTTAAAGAAAAAAGCTTACCAAAACTGTCAAGTGTTTAGCAGAAATGCAGATTTCCATTTCATTCATAAATCCATAGTCAAACAGCCACCTAGTCTTAACCAGATGACATAGTGGGTCTTTGGATGGGCTTTTTTTCAGCTAAAAAATCCCTTTAAGCTATTTTATGCTTTTGGATAGCAACCATTTAAAAAGCAGAATTTAAAAAAAAAAAAAAAAAAAAAAAAAAGCAGCCAAAAGTCAAATAATTTTTTAAAAAATCAATTTTATCCCAACCCCACTACCATCACATATCTTTTTTAGTAATTTTATATATAAAAAGTGGTTGTTAATTTTAACATCCAAACATAAAATAGGGTTATAAATAGAGCTTATTAACTTATTTAAAAGTACATTTTATGTATTCTATCCAAACATAGAATAGCTCTAACTTTAAAAAAAAATTAAATTCTAAAAAAAGAAAGCCATCAAAAGTCCTTTTTTTTAAAAGTCAATCCAAACGGGCTCATAATTGGCCATTAACAAATCAGGAAAGCTAATTACATTCACTCCATGACATCAATACCAGATGGAGGCAGGAAAGCAATACTACCTCATACTTGGGATGACATGCAATACAATACTAAGAAGAATGGAGGAGAAACTTGATCATAAGCCTTGTGCAAACTATGGAAATGTAAAAAAGATCCAAATGCTTTTGGTTGAGCTGGAGCAGAATTTTAGGCAAGCATAATTACAGAATACTAAAGTACAAAAGTACTACACATATGAACAAAAGAAATACTACAATGAAATTTTAACTTGACAATGGAAGAAGGTATCCTCCAAGATTCGACCACAAAGCCCAAAGGAAACAAAAAGTATGACCTCATAGAAAACCATGGAAAAAGAGAAAAAGGGACCACCACCCCTGCCCCAAAACCCTCTATAAAACCTCCACAAAACATCTAAAACAAAAGGAAAACAGAAAAAAGGCCACGCTTTGGCCTATCATGAGATAATTAGTTTATGTTGAAACCGGAGGCCTCTCTTCATCTAGTTCTTTCATTACGCCACTGAACTCTTTCTTTCTGTTTCAACTTAAATCGAATGTTTTACACTCACCGCAAGCAAAGAGGTTTCAAAGATACCAGGCAACCAAGTGAAAGTCTAGCTAGTTCAGTGGATATGATGGCTGCGCTCCAGCTCACTCAAGAATGGGACGGCAGTGGTCCACCCAGAAACTTCCGGTGGATGGCAAAGAACCCAAGCAAAAGATAGAGAGACCTACTCTCGAGGGACAGAATAACTTAAAGCTTCCGCCTAAATTCTCTCCCCACAGGGCAACTCCTACTTAAAAAAATTGCCCATTTATTTGATGAATTTTTCTACGAGACTCCAAAAAACTGATATTATAATAATACTCAAAAGTAACTATTATTTTTTATTGAACCATAAATTACATATTGACAGGCTTCTCATTTGCATCCTATAGTTTATTTCTAGGAAGCCTGAGCTTATAATTTTATGTTCACCTATGATTAATTATAAATAGGGCAGCCTAGTGATATTAAGCCCCCCCTATGAGGTGAGATAGGGAAGGGTGAAGGGTCTACAGTAGACAGTCTTACATTTGCAAGAGATTGATTACATGAGTCGAACCTATGACCTCCAGGTCATGACAACACCAACCGTTGAGCTTTATGATTAAATTATATATTACCAAATTTTGAAGACTTGATCCCAAGCATGCTGATTTGTCCCATAAGTCAGAAGTTATAATATTCTAAAGGCCACAGAAATCTACATGCTAAAAATTCTAAGTAACAGTGAACAGCAGTCTTCACAGTTAGTTGTCATCTGTGGTTAAAATTAAGTTTCAGCAAAGAATTAGTTCTGTATCAATGGAACAGCTCACCATCACAAGAGAGTAAAGCAGAAGCATTTAGTATTATCCATTAGAATAAGCATAGAAGGCAGCACGCAGGTATCACAAATCAAGAACAATAACATAACCAGAAAAAGAATTGAAGTCTTAAAACTAACCTTTTTCACAGGAGAAAGAAACCATGCTCCTAACAAGAAGCAACTAGAACAAGTGATTGAAATAAAACAGCTGCTCATCAACTTCTGGGCCAAAGGAGCAACAACGAGAGAATTCAAACAACCATGACAAATCCTGACTACTCAGTTAATGTTCATTCCTTCCTCAATGGAAAGTATTCAGAGAACAAATAAGCAGCATATATAGTTATTCCGAGGTAAGCCGCCTCCTCTTCCCATAATCAGCATCTCTTGGTCTTGAATGGCGTTCCTCCTCTTGTGATAATCGTGATTTACTGTGAGTCCTTGAAGACCTTCCCCTCTCCCACTCATCCTCGTGCTCTGCTTCGCGGTCTCTGTGCCTATGATGATCTGCATACCTGTCCCTGTCTTCCCTGTACCTGTCACGCTCACGGTCTCTATCCCGAGACTTTTCGCGGTCACGGTCACGAGATCGTTCACGATCATGATCTCGAGATCGTTCACGGCCCACTTCTCTATCATCTCGATGCCTTCTTTCTGACCATTCATGGTCATGGCCAATATCTTTTTCTCTAGGTGCCTCTCTCTCATATCCTTGATCTCTATCATCCCTATACCTTCGCTCCGAAGAACCAGACCAGTCCCTTTCCGATCCTCTATCTTTTTCCCTCATAGCATTAGGCCACCCAGCTCTATCATGGCTCACCTCACCATACTGATGATCTGATGCAGCTTCCTCCCCATAACTTGACTCTCCAGCCTTGCCACCACCATGCTCTTCACCAACCCATCCACCCATATTTGGATCCGACCACATTCCCATATTAGGACCGTCAATACCTGATGTTGGCATCATCCCCATACCATTCACAGGCATCCCTCTTCCAAAAAAGGCTGGATTAACATGAGGTGCAACTCCAGGCAAACCAACACCTGGAAATGAAGGCAAAATCCCAGAGAATGGAGGTGTCGGACCCCCAGGAAAGCCTCCATAGCCGCCCATTCTACCCATTGGACCACCAAATGCAGGGTCAAAACCCTGATTCATCATTGACTGATGATGCAACAAAGGCGGGGCAGCACCAATACCCTGTCCAAATCCATTTCCACCATTGCCCATAATACCTCTACCGCCCATCCCACCGCCCCTATTCCTCATTGGATTAACCGGCCCCCTATTCCCCATCCCAGGATTATTCCCTCGCCCCCAGCTACCTCTTCCATAACCTCTGTTTCCATCCCCACCTTGGTAGTTACCACCAGTCGCAACATTACTACCACCAGGCTTAGCTCCTGCATCAGCAGGCCCCCTCCTTCCCTGGGAAACTCCAGATTGGGTAACCTGTTGATTCCTAGATATCTGAGCCTCTCCCATTTTCTTAACAGTAAAAGGGGATGCATAAGCAACAACACACGGTCTCCCATTAAACTGATGCCCATTCATCCCTTCCTTACAAGCAGTTGCAGCAGAAGGTTCATAAAACTCAACCTGGCAGTACCCTTTCGATTTCCCACTAGCTTTCTCATCAAAAAACTTTACCTCCTTCACAGTCCCGTACTTACAAAGCTCAGCTTCCAGCTCAGCATCCGTAGTCCACCAGTGCAAATCACCGACAAATAATATAGTGCCACCACCAGCACCACCACCTGCAGCCACAGCAGCACCAACACCTGCACCGACACCAATTCCACCTCCACCTCCACCTCCTCCAGTATTAACACTACCAACAGCATTTACACTGTTCCCAACCCCATTTCCACCAGCCCTATTGAGATTCCCTCCTCCACCTCCACCTCCACCTCCACCACCACCACCTTGCCTAACCAAACCCTCGTTTCCAACACTCCCAATAACTTCACCATGCTGTTGCTGCCCAGTCCCCTGCACTCCAACATTATCATTTCCACCCTGCTCCTCAATCTCACTCAATTTCCCAGATTGATGCCCTAATTCAACCCTAATCCCCACTTTGACACCCACCTCATCCCCTCTAAACCCCTGATTCTGAACCCCATCAACTCTCCCAGGAACCCTCGATTCTACAACCCCGCCGGCGGTACCACTACCCTCACCGGCACCACTGTTGCCACCGACACCTGGTATAGAAATCCCACCGGGATCCTGAGTTGGCTGCGGCTTCTTGTCGTCAACTTCGTCATTTCGAAGCCCTAAATCGTCGTTCTTGCGCAAAGATTGAAGGAACCCTTCGCCAACATTGACATCGTTGTAAAGGTCCTCGTAATCGTCGTCTTCCTCGGCCAAGAAACCCTCGTCGGCAACAGCGGATATAGCTTCGTTACGGTGGAACTGATCCATGGGATCCCCACCCTCACCGTACCCTCCCTCGCCTTCATCCATTCTCGGGTTTCTTGCCCCCCACCTTCCCCTCTTCAAATTAGGGTTTGCAGAGAACAGTGAGATAAAAATGGAGTAGAAGCATATGAAGATAAAAACGCAGCGTAAAGAAGAGAGAGAGAGAGAGATTTCACAACTAATCTAATCAAACTCTGTATAAGCTGAGATTGCACGGTTTTCTTTCTCTTTTATTTTGCTCTTTACTCCTTTTCATTATTGAATTAGTAATTAATACCCGCATGTAAGTTAAGGTGTGTTTGTTTCTTATTAATTTACAAGAAAAGAGTACTGTTTATTAAAAAAAATTACTTCTCATGTATTCTGAACTGTATAGATAAGATTTTTATACAATTGAAATTTATTAAAAAAAATTATCTTTATTCTCAAAATAATTACCATTTCCAGTCAACTGGTAAGATCATAGATTGATTTTTCACAGTAGGTGAGTTAGGATTTTTCACAGCAAGGGAGTAGCTCTTGTTGCTGGTGCGTCACGCTCTCGGACTGTGATTTATGCCCACGTTAGGTTACAATAGGTCACGTGATGTACTATTAACGTCTCTTTCATTACGGAAAATATTTGCATTAGATTTAGTGCTCAAATAAAATATACTTAAGTAATAAATTATTAATGCATCATTACTTAATTGTTAATCATCATAATTTTTTCAGACATAATTAATTACCATATGTAATCATTAATTATCTACTATAATGAAATGATGCGGAGCAGCCACTACAAGCGAGCACACAGCATTCGAGGAACTGTAATAACCGAAGTGTTCAAATTTTGTCAAGGAGTGGATTCTCTTACGTGTAAAACTGATCATGTTATTTGATCACAATTACTCGTTTAAAAATTATACAATTTTTTATCTCTTATCTCATAATCAATGAATCAATGAATAGTTATGATCAAATAACATGACCACTTTTTCACATGAGAGGATACACTCAGCCACCTTAACATATTTATTTTTTCAGCAAAAATAATTCAATGTAATGCAGCCAATTGGTCACAACTCGCAAATATTAGGGAATTGGATTTTGTTGAATCTCAAATAAATAATCATTTTCTTATTTAAGGATATTTAACAAAAACAATTTTTAAAACAACAGAATGAGCAGCACCATTACCCTGGAGAACATACATTTGTTCTACGTATCAATTATAAATAAAACAAAAATTAAAAATTAATCATCCTGGATTACTACTAATATTTCCACGTGCAAGTATAATCAAATCGAATGCTGTTATTCAATAGGTAGCCTCCCAAGAGAGTTCATTCAACGCTAATACTTGAAGGTAATCACAAACAAAGAAAACTACCACGCATTGAGATCAATACTCAGGAACACACAATGATACCATTAGTATAAAATAATACAAGCTCTGTATGAGCATCCTTTCAATGATTTCATTTGAATGGATTATAGATCAAGTTCAATCCCTATTTTTGGAAGTTAAAAAACAGGTGAGGAAACAGAAGCAAATAAAAACAAAAGTTTTTTTTTTTCCTTTTCTTATTAAGCAAATTCTGTAAAGAGTGAAGAAGTTAGCCATCCTACTCTATACTCAAAAAATTAAGAACTCTTAGACATAGCACAAAAAAGTGACCAGAGACATCAACACCATAAAGCTCCCCAATTCTCAACAGTTCGATTCTACTTTCTTTTTTGAAAAAAAAATAAAAAAAATAAGAACAGTTGGATTCCATTTGACTAGTTCTAAACAAGAAAAGACCATAAAACAAAACTGGAGAAAGACTGCACCTCTATCAGAAAAGTAAATATCAATATATACAAGAAAACATGATATACAATTCTCCAGCTTTGAATGATTACAGTAATTGAATGGTTAGCTCTCTACATCATACACAATATTTGCATGCTCAACCGCTATACTAACAAAATGTTAGGGAGAAGAAAACAACAAAAAAGAAAAGTGGGAAAAAACAATACAACAGCGAGCCAATAAAAACGGCACATTATCAACATCCTCTGCTAAATCCTAGTACATCATTCAAACATTAAGTTCTAAACAGTCTGCCACATTCCAGACTTCAGTAAGTAAACCCATTACATCAACAACATTGGTTTAATCGTGTGCTTAAAACATAAATTCAAATCAAAAGCGATATCTTCATAGCGAATGTTCTACTTCTCATTGTAAGAAGAGGATTGTCATAACTTAGCTCTCCAATATTGATGGCACTTGATCCCCAAAGCAACCCAGAGTTTGAATGAACAGTTTCCTTTCTCAAAGCAATTGTCCCTATGTAAAACAGAAGCCCATAACAATAATAGTTGCAATTCAGAAGGTATTAATATAAAAGAAGCAATAGCAGGTTTAATTCATATAAAAGGAAAAAGAATACTATCTCAATTCAGTTAAACAGCACAACAGAAAATTTATGGTTGAGGGAGTAAAACAAATACATAAACACCAAGAGCAAACTACACTTTTTTTATTTTCTGATACCATGAATATAGGACTTTGATATGATCATATGTTCAATAAGTGCATATCTACCACATAATATTGCATTAAGTTCACACAGTTACAATACAATATCATAAAAAGGGGAAATCGGAGATATAACAACTGTAATGAATTGCCTGGCCAACTTGTTATCAAATGTAGGACGTTGATTTGATCAACTTTTTAATAAGTGCAGATCTACCACATATTTGAGTATTGTGTTTAAATAGTTACACTATCAACAAATGGGGAAGGGAAAAGGGAGCAACTGTAATGAATTGCCTGACAAATTTGTTACCAGCATGCACATGTAGAAACTACATAACCAGAATGACTGTATGCACAGTTGGCTCCACATAATAAATTCCTTTACTATGCTTAATTAACAAAAGAGAACTTTTGACAAGTGACAACTGCAAAGCTTTAAGCAGATGACATACAGATTCCCATTTCATCCAGAAATTTATAGTCACAGTCACCTGGTCTTAACAAGAGAAACATGCAAGGCCTTAAACAAATCAGGAAAAATAATCACACTCACTCTGTCAACAATGGCATCAATAGCAGAGGGATGTAGGAAAACAATAAAGCCTCACATACCAGAGAATACATGCAAAATAGAACTATGAAGAAAAGACGAGAAATTTGATCATAAGCCTTGTGCATATTATTGAATATAAAAAAAAAAAAAAAATTCAGAATTTTTGTGTTAGGAAACAAACAGAATTTCAAGGAAGGAGGATAACTAGAATAAAGAAGATGAGATATGAACAAAAGAAATATTAGACTGCAATTTTAACTATGCAGTGGAAGAAGGGAAATTTTATATTCTAAACATAATATTTACAATTAAATTTAATACTTGTTTCGTAATAAACCAGTAAATTAGGTTTTGACAGGTTTCTCATATGCTGGCTATAGTGTTATTAATCATAATAAGCAAGGCAAGTAGATATAACAAACCAAGATAGAAAGATACATAACACAAGAAGACAAAGAACTGAAGTCATGAACTAACCTTTCTCACAGGAGAACAAAACCATGCTCCTGACAAGAAGCAACCAGAACAAGTGATTGAAATAAAGCAGCTGCTCAACAACTTCTGGATCAGAGGAGCACAACCAGAAAATCCAAACAAACATGACAAATCCTGATTTTTCAATTATAATTCTTTCCTTCCTCAATGGAAAGTATTACTCAGAGGTAAGCCGCCTCCTCTTCCCATAATCAGCATCTTTTGGCCTAGAATGGTGTTCCTCCTCTTGTGATAATCGTGATTTGTTGTGAGTCCTTGATGACCGTCCCTGATCCCACTCATCCTCAGGCTCTGCCTCACGATCTCTGTACCTATGATGTTCTGCATATCTGTCCCTATCTTCCTTGTACTTGTCCCGCTCACGGTCCCGATCCCTTTCACGGTCACGATCTCGAGACCGCTCACGATCACGCTCACGGTCTCTGTCTCGTTCCCGACCCATTTCTCTTTCATCGCGAGGCCTTCTTTCTGACCATTCATGGTCACGTCCCATATCTTTTTCTCTAGGTGCATCTCTCTCATATCCTTGATCCCTATCATCCCTATACCTTCGCTCAGAAGAACCAGACCAGTCCCTTTCTGATCCTCTATCTTTATCCCTCATAGCATTAGGCCACCCAGCTCTATCATGGCTCACCTCACCATACTGATGATCTGATGCAGCTTCCTCCCCATAACTTGACTCTCCAGCCCTGCCACCACCATGCTCCTCACCACCCCATCCACCCATACTTGGATCAGACCACATTCCCATATTAGGACCATCAATACCTGATGTAGGCATCATCCCCATACCATTCACAGGCATCCCTCTTCCAAAAAAGGCTGGATTAACATGAGGTGCAACTCCAGGCAAACCAACACCTGGAAATGAAGGCAAAATCCCAGAGAATGGAGGCGCCGGACCACCAGGAAAGCCTCCATAGCCGCCCATTCTACCCATTGGACCACCAAATGCAGGGTCAAAACCCTGATTCATCATTGACTGATGATGCAACAAAGGCGGGGCAGCACCAATACCCTGTCCAAATCCATTTCCACCATTGCCCATTATACCTCTACCGCCCATCCCACCGCCCCTATTCCTCATTGAATTAACAGCCCCCCTATTCCCCATCCCAGGATTATTCCCTCTCCCCCAGTTACCTCTTCCATAACCTCTATTTCCATCCCCACCTTGGTAGTTACCACCCGTCGCAATATTACTACCACCAGGCTTAGCCCCTGTATCAGCAGGCCCCCTCCTTCCCTGCGAAACTCCAGATTGGGTCATCTGTTGATTCCTAGATATCTGAGCCTCTCCCATTTTCTTAACAGTAAAAGGGGATGCATAAGCAACAACACACGGCCTCCCATTAAACAGATGACCATTCATCCCTTCCTTACAAGCAGTTGCTGCAAAAGATTCATAAAACTCAACCTGGCAATACCCTTTTGATTTCCCACTAGCTTTCTCATCATAAAACTTCACCTCCTTCACAGACCCATATTTACAAAGTTCAGCTTCCAACTCAGCATCAGTAGTCCACCAATGCAAATCACCCACAAATAATATAGTACCCCCAGCAGGGCCACCACCAGCACCACCACCTGTAACCACACCAGTTCCACCTCCACCTCCTCCAGTATTAACACTACTAACTGCAATCACACTGTTCCCAACCCCATTTCCACCGGCCCTATTAAGATTCCCTCCTCCTCCACCTCCACCACCAACACCTTGTCTCACTAAACCCTCATTTCCGACACTCCCAACAACTCCACCAAGCAGTGGTTGCCCAATAATCCCCTGCACTCCAACAGTATCATTTCCACCCTTCTCCTCAATCTCACTCAATTTCTTAGATGCTTGTCCTAATTCAACCCTAATCCCGCCTCCACCACCCATCGACGACCCCGATCCACCTCCACTTACAGGATTACTCCCTCTAAACCCCTGATTCTGAAACCCATCAACTCTACCAGAAACCCTCGATTCCACAACCCCACCACCACCAACACCCTCACTGGCTCCACCACCACCGACGCCCGGTATAGAAACTCCACCAGCATCCTGCATCACCGGAGCAGGCTGCAGCTTCTTGTCGTCAACGTCGTCGTTTCTAATCCCTGAATCCTCGTTCTTGCGCAGCGATTGAAGAAACCCTTCTCCGACATTGACATCGTTGTAAAGGTCCTCGTAATCATCGTCTTCCTCAGCCAAAAAACCATCGTCGGCAACAGCTGATATAGCTTCGTTACGGTGGAACTGATCCATGGGATCCCCACTCTCACCGTACCCTCCCTCACCTTCATCCATTTTTGGATTTCCCAAAATATACTACTCTCTTTTTTTCAGGTTTTGCAGTGAAGGGTGAGATCAAAATCGAAGAAGAAACATTGAGGATTGAAACGCAGCGTAGAGAAGGGAGAGAGATCTTACCAGGGAAATAGAAGAGTAACAGAGGTCATGAGTTGTGTGTAGAAGAAGAGAAAGAGTTAAACAGAGACAAACCCTAAATGTGGAAACAAGTTGTCAACTAATCTAATCCTTTTTGTCATGTTGTTTTGCTGCTGAGAGTAAACTATTCTAAAATTTTAAATTTTCTAATCTTTTATGCATAAAAGTAAGCTAAGTAGGTTGGTGGTGTTATAGGAAGTAGGAACAATTTTTTCAGCTCGAATTTGAAGGCAATTTAGTCATGGGCAATATTGGTTTTTGTATATATTTTTTTAATTCATGTATTTTTATGTTATTAATGCTTTTGTTGCTTTTTAAAGTTTTGAATTCTTTTATCTCAAAAATATTTCTGCAGTTAATGCACATAAGTTATTCGCATTTACTCTTAAAATGATGTCGTTTTGGTGTTGAAATATTAAAAAATTATAATTATAAAGACTATTACAACCCTAAAATAAATTAAAATTACAAAAACATCTTGATTTTCGCCCAAAATGACACCATTTTGGGCTCAATGCAAATAACTTATCTGCATTTACCGCAAAAAAATGAACCCCTTCTTTTATCTAATTCTTCCTACCTTGGTCTTAAAATTTGAATATCTTTTGTTATCAAATTTGAGTTATTTATAAACTGGCTGCCATTATTTGTGATGATTATTTCGGGTATACCAAACTTGCAAACAATCTTGTGATAAAAGAACTTACGTACTTTTTAGGCTGTGATAATGGCAATAAGCTCCGCCTTTATCCACATGGTAAAATAATTGACTGCCACGATAAGATATTTAACTTCTCCTGTTGCTTTCGGTAATGGGCTTAAGAGATCCATCTCTCATTTGTAAAATGGCCAGAGGGAGAAAATAATGAATAACTTCTCGGGGGGCTTATAAATGTCAGAAATTTTTTGACATTGTTTGCATTTCTGTACGTGTTTTTTGGTGTCCTTCCCCATAGTGGGCCAATAGTATCCTGCCTTCGTAGCTAACGACTTCCCTCCAAGGTGGTGCCTATTTATTCCTTCATGGATCTCCTCGAAGATATACTCGGTGGCCGGAGGAGCTATACACTTCAGTAATGGTGAATTAAATCCTCGTATGTATAATTACTCTTCTATGATGACAAACCAGGTTGTTTTCCATATAAACTTTCTGGCTTCCTGCTTATCATCGGGTAACTGGCCTTTCTTCAAAAAAAGATGCAATTGGGTCATCCAAGTTCCTTTTTCAATTGTGCACACTATACTCGGAGCCTGGAATTCTGACATACCATCATCTTAAGATTGCCGAAGGACTTAATACTTTCTAACTTCGAAAGGACATCTGCTCGAATGTGCTTACTTCTTTTGATATGGTCAACTCGAACCTCCTTAAATTCCTTCATCAAATTGTATACCTTGGCGAGATGTCTGATCCATGTGAAAGGGGTTTCGAATGGTCCTTGCACTACAGGTCCTACTTGAAACTGTGGTGGGAAGAGTGGATACTGGTATGGTGCCATGGTGATACGATCATCTGTAGGGATGATGGTTAGCGCTTAAGGAAAACAATCAACCTCTTCTCATTGGTCACCATATCTATCACCTTCTCAACATGAGATAGTCCTCTACCCTCGCCATTACTAGCATATCCTCATGCACTTAAGTGTAAAGAGGTGTAAGTAGGATTGGTAACAATGGTGGTGGTGGTTGGCCCTGATTCCTCATGGCCCTTTCCTCATTCATGAAAGTCTTTATCATCTCTAAATTGGCTTGCTGATTCACTTCCATAAACTCTCGTTGCATCCCAACTAGAATAGCCAGAAGCGGATCTCGTTGTTCATTGGGCCACTCATTAGGTTGTTCATTAGGTGCCCCTAGAGTGTTTCGAGTAGTGACCATAATTCTGCATATGTTGCATAAAGAAATGAGTACTAAAACCACTCAATAAGCATATCATATAGTCACACAATCAAGCAATTTCCCTAAGGAAACAAACAGCTCTGATACCATAAAATATAACACCTCATTCTAGAATCGGTTTGTTAACATTATTTATGATATTAATCTCATTAAAATCAGAGTAATTAAAGACATACAAAAATAAAGATAAGTACATAAACATTATAAATAAATTCCTTTGTTTCATTTCATTTGAATGAACACAAGTTCCGCACTCCAATAATTCAATTCTATAATTAGAACTCATAAATTATGCGAAAGCATTTTACATTTGCTCTATATCATGCACCAAGTAGCTCCCATAAGCTTACAAGGTGATTAAAATTAAATATCAAAACTTGTCGTTGCTCGTTGATCAACTATACCCTTCTTCGCTGAGCTGCTCGGTTAAGCAAGGAGGGCAGTGAACAATTAATTTCACAAACTGAAGCCACTGTCCTTATTAGTGGCTTACTTACAGGACTGCTCGCTTCAGCAGCAAGTCAGTGAGCATGCCCTGTTTTACAAAAATGGTTCCTTTTATTTTCATGCTCTAAATTGGGACTTTGGTCCATACCATCTTCATTTTTAGAGTACCAAATTAACCATATATCAACAACCATATTTCCAATATCTATAGATGTAACCATTTCTCAATATATCACATATAATCCATTTCTTAGACTCCAAGTTTCTTGGCATCATATTGCTTACATCTCAAGCATACTATTTTTACATCTCAACATACATCAAGGAATATTAAATTACAAATGTTCATATTACACAAGTCCCTTGCATTGCATCCAATCAAAAGATACATAAAGGCTATTACAAAATGAAGGGTACATAATACGATGTTCTCAAAATACATTAATCCATCCAAATCAATATATAAATCAATGTCTCTCCCACTTTGATATATGTACATACATGATCCAATATGAAATGCTATAAGATACACATATGTAAAGTCCAACACGAAATATAATCCTAGCATCCTCCCATGTCAAAGGGTGCAGAATCCCCACTAAAACATCATATCCCTATTCAGGCCTCTTGCCAAGGAAAACATCAATTGTGCCACTCGGGATACCTAAAAAATAATCCCCACACATGGTGAGATACAATCTCAATAATCTCAAGGTCTTCCTTAAGCCCTGAGCTCACTTCTATGACATTCAGGCATCAAAATGATATTTTGCAATCAAAACTCAAAGCAATAAGCATATAACAATGCAAGAGGTGTATCAACACCAATCACACCATTCCTTAGGTCCATAAGCCATCCTCGGAATGCTGGTATCAATTAATTGTACTGGCCAGAGAATCTATTCAATAGTGCAGTCACATATAGCACACATATTCTCAATCTCAAGCAACAACACCCAATTTCAATACCACTACACAATCATGTTATACAAACCACAACTCCTCCTAGAGTGTGGTGGAACATCAAGGGGCAAAGCCCCTAAGGTCCAAGAGCTTATCTCTTTGGAGCTAAATCCTCAAGCTTTCCTCTTGTTCCAAAGCAACCACCAATGGTGTCTCATCCAAAATCAACAATACCACCTATTTCAAGGCACATACTAAATTAACTACACATAAACAACTTCAATATACATCAATCAACCCAAAACCACAACTTCAAAGGCTTACCTTCTCTCTTGAAGATTCAAGAGCTACCTCAATGGAGGTTCCACTTCATAATCATCATCATCAACAACAAACTTATACATAACAACATGTATTGAAGCATCTATCATCAAATCAATGCCTCATTTTCAAATTTCCCCAAAAATCTCAAGAAGCCCTAACCCACAGTTCATAAAATCCAACATAACTCAAGAAAAAGGGTCCCCTCACCTTATACTACTCTTCGGAAAAGGAATACTAAGCTTCAAACTCCAAAACAATGGAAGATTCACCTACCTTTGTCCCCCACCAAGAGGAAATCGAAAGTGTTTGGGAGGAAGGTGGTTTATTCTTGGTGGTTTCAAGGTGATTCAATGAAGAAGATAAGTGGAATGATGTGAGTGTGATGGTTCCAAGCTTCAAGGGGTAAAAAGCATTAACCCAGGGGGAGGGGGATAAAGGTGAAATTTTCGGCCAAAATCCAGAGCAAAAAAGCCATTTTCAGTTTAATTTTGGGATAAATGAGGAGAGAGAAAATTTTGTGGTGCTTTCACTCATTTCGCATCTGCTCGCCGGGATGCTCGTTGAAGCGAGCATGTCCGCAAGCAGTGAGCTTGATCGCTAGGCTACTTGCTGAAGCGAGAAAGCCAGCGAGCAGCACCTGATGTTGTTTTTCCTTTTTTGACTCAAATCCTTATTTTGCCCTTTTAACTATTCATATAATCCCAATTAATGACATTTAATCATGTAGGTTATTATACTCACAGTACTAGTTCTTCATTTGACGGGCATGATGATGCACATGCTCATTGTACTAGTTCTCTGTCCGGCGGGCAAAATGATACCCGTGCTCTTGGGGTCCTTTTACCCTTCCATCGTTCCTCATTTCCTCCTCATGATAAATCGTTCGCTCTAACTCACAAGTATATTTTGCATGTACTCACTCTTGGTTTCTCCTATAAGCGTCATGACATCTACTTATGGTAATTTGTCCCTCTAACTGACTACTAGATCCCCGTGAATGATATTGGCAAGTTCTTGGATTCTCTTTGTAGTGGGTACCATCTTGTCTCTGAGGTGGAGATAAAGGGATATAACTTGGAGTAGGGGATCGCGATGCTCTAGCTCGGTTCCCCTGCAGAGGCGTGTTTATACGTTGCAGCCTCTCCTTAGAACGAGGCATCCTCCTCCTTCTTCCATCGTGATGCTGTTTCCTAAAGAACGATCGCTGATCTTCTACCAACTAGAGCAATGTACGTCCAATGGTGTTGACAGATCCACTCCTAGTGTAACACCCCGTGTATACCCGGTTTGTTACCATGTCATCGTATTAAGCAACGCTTAATTAAAATACGGAATAAACTTTTTCTTTTCAATTATGACGTCATTAACATTAACCAAGTTGATTACTTAATCATCTTTCATAAAACATTGCTTGTATGTAATTGCAATAAAACAACTATCTACACTGAATAACCTTATAATATAAATATGTGAGTATCTAAGTCACAGAACTACAACACGCAGTCCGGACCATAATCCTGATACATTAATATAACTCGAATCTAAAATAAGACATAGTCAATCAATGTGGCATGAACAACCCTCATGCTCACCAAATAAGGCAACAAGGCCCAACAGAGTCTCAACAACAAAATCATAATAATAACATAAAGCATGTCAGCATCCAATCATAACATGTAAGCATCAATGTCTAACTCAGCTCCGGCCTCCTGCCGCCCGAGGTCTCAACCCCCGAGTTACCTGAACCTGAAATATGAGCCCCAAACGTGGGGTGAGATCTCTAAACAGAAATCTCAGTAAGACAAGGGGTCTTCAAGGATTTCTCCACCCCAAGCTCACTTACATGTGCAATATAAGTTCTAAAAGCAGTTTAACAATATAAGTTTCGAAATCAGTGCAATGCAGCATATAATCATGTCATGTGTGTCAACTACTCTACTGGCCAGAGAAATGCAGGATTTACATACGTCTACAACCACATATAGTACACACCCATGCCGTACCTGCCCACAGGATCACCATATTGTATGACGCTACATACTCAGGATTACCGTCTAGGCGAAACATCACATACATATAATAGAGCATTTGCACTTAACAGCTCAAAAGCATTTCAATAAATCAATACATGAAACACATCATGCATATAAACCATCTCCCCATGGGGTATGGTGAAACCAACAATGGCTAAACCGAGGACACGAAAGCTTACCTCTAAGCAATCAATCCAATCCAAGGTCCACACCAGCTCAAAGTCCACACACAAGACAATCACAATCTGTTTGGACCAATAATCATATCAATATTCATACTCTACAAGCATATGACACAAAGACAACGCCTTTATAACATCCCGAGTGCTGACGATTGTATGGTTAGTGGAAGAGCTAACGTACAATTGAATGTATGGTTAGTGGAAGAGCTAGCGTACTATCAGTGGGAGAGGTACATGAATGAATCGAATAACACCAGAAAGAGAGGGATTCCAGAGATTGTGCTAGTATAGGACAGCACAGCTAATGATAACTTATAAGAATTAATCGGTACTACCTATACTAACAAGATGCATCTACTTTTTGGTAGCCCAGATCGGAAGAACTTCACAGTTAAGCATGCTTGACTTGGAGCAATTCAGGGATTTGTGACCTCCTGGGAAGTTTTCCCGGGAAGTCTGCGAGTGAGGACAAAGCACGCTGAAAAGTCTCGTGTTAGTGTGTGGGGATAGTCGTTGATGCTTGCAAGTGGTCGGGCGTTACAAGTGGTATCAGAACAGGGCCTCGCATCCAATACAGGGTGGTTCGAGGATGAACCAAGCGGAAGCTGGTGGGCATGTAACATCCCGAGTGCTGACGATTGTATGGTTAGTGGAAGAGCTAACGTACAATTGAATGTATGGTTAGTGGAAGAGCTAGCGCACTATCAGCGGGAGGGGTACATGAATGAATCGAATAACACCGAAAAGAGAGGAATTCCAGAGATTGTGCTGGTATAGGAGAGCAGAGCTAAGGATAGCTTATAAGAATTAATTGGTACTACCTATACTAACAAGATGCATCTACTTTTCGGTAGCCCGGATCGGAAGAACTCCACAGTTAAGCGTGCTTGATTGGAGCAATTCAGGGATGGGTGACCTCCTGGGAAGTTTTCCCGGGAAGTGTGCGAGTGAGGACAAAGCACGCTGAAAAGTCTCGTGTTAGTGTGTGGGGATAGTCGTTAATGCTTGCAAGTGACCGGGCGTTACAGCCTTCCTTGTACGTTTCATGCCATTTGGCTTCTCACAAAGCCGTAAACCCTTAATCACTAAGATTCTGACTTAGTTAATTATTACAGAGGTTCAACTTAACCAATCTAGGGTCCACAAACCCCAAATACAGTTATGTATGGACAGAACAGTCACTGTCCCGAAATTCTCAGAATATCTGAATATTTGTCGGGGCCATATCCGGATATTTCGCGACAGAATGCAGTTCTGCATTTTCGCGAAGATATCACTCAAAGGTTCAACTTTTAACCCATTGCTACGTCCAAACATGCATTTTTAAACCCTTTTAGGTTTAGTGATCATATTAGTTACTTAAACAACTTATTAAACATGCTAAGACTCCACTTTTACCCAATAAAACTCATGATCAAAGGTGGTGAAGCTTACCCAATCTTAAAACAGAACAAGGAGGCGCTCTTGGAGCTCTCACTTCAGCTCCTAGGGTCTGCTACAAAGGGAGCACGAAAATGACAAGCAAGCAAGGTCCTTTCTCACCAAAGGTAGCTTCTTGAAGCTCCCACAACTAAAAAATATGGCTATCACCCTCACAACCAAAGTGGACAACATCTATACACCACCAAACAGAGGCTACCACTCAGCCATGGGCAACCCACAACCTCATAAGACTCACTCCCATAAGCTATGGTGTTTTTGTGAAGAGGAAAGGAAGAAAGGTGCTCACTTAGTTCACCAAAATGGAGAGGAGAAGGTGACAAGGTGGCTGCACAAAATACTCAGAAAATCCCACGTAGAAGAGAGGGAGGTTGACCTAGGATCATGTGCAAGGGTCCTTTTATAGCCCACTTAAGTCTTAATCACACTGTATTAGCGCTAATAGCTACGTTTAACATTTTAATCTCAAACTTAAGATTCAGAACCTAGTCATTTTTTCTAAGATTTTTCATATTTTTATATTATTTTTCGCAGTACTTTGCCGGTACGCGCTTTTACAAAGCCAGTATCAGTTCTGACACCAGTTCTCATGATTTTAACCTGAAACTTATTATGCTAGTCCTATATATTATTCTAGTGACATAACATATTTTTCATAATTTTTCGGGATACTTCATCGGTACGCATTTATACCGTGAGGCAGAACCGGTATCTGCACTTTTCGTCAGAAAAACGACTTTCAACGTTATTTAACACTTACTATAATTATTTAAGTCTTCTTATAATCATTAGGGTCAATTATGAAATTATCTCATAATTAATTACTTAAATTCCTAATTTAACGATTCGGGTTCTTACACCTAGTGACAGAACGAAAAGAATTTCCTTCCTCGTCAGCATGAAGTGGTCCATTTTTGGGTGGGTGGTGGTGATTACCGTTGCTAGCCATGATTCAAGGTGGGATTAGAACTTTACAATTCCCACAGACAGCGCCAGATGTTCTGAGTGAACACCAACTAGGATAATTGGATATCTGTTTAGGTGGTATATAAACTGGTGAGGATAAAGTATCACTCCAGGTTTAAGGAATGAAGGTATGGATCTTGTATGAATACTCTATGTAGTCTTAGTATCGATGGTTGAATGTAATGTGTCCTTCATTTAGTGCTACTTGTGTATTTATAATAGCTATTATGAATGATTAATAGAGGGAATCGCGAAGTAGAATGGTTATCTAGAGATGCTCATGGAAGTTGCAGGTAGTTGCATAAGAGGTTGATGATTATGGGGTTGAACCCACAATCCACACTCTTGGTTAAATTCGGCCGGCAAGAGGGAACTCACTTAAAAGCCCAAACCATAAATGGGGCTCAAGGATAAGCCCAAGAAGAATAATTGGGTTAAGCCCGAAACAGTCAGAAAACTCTCACTTTTCACACTTCCAATGCCTTCACTCTAGTTGTTGCTTAATCCCCTGCACTCCACCACCATCATTATACTGTGTTCCTCAATTTCATTCAATTTCTTAGGTTGCTACCCAAACTTTGGCACTCCATCATCATCATCATCATCATTATTGTACTCTTTGATTACCTTGGTTTCGCTCAATTTCCCAAATGCCTATACTCTATCTTAATTCAACCTTAATATCACTTCTTCTACCACCACCCCATCGACCTTGTCTTACCAAACTTTTATTTCTCACACTTCCAACAACTCCACTATGTAAACGTAAGCTGAGTTGGTTTGTATTGTCACAAGAGCAAATGTTGTTATTGGTTTATTAATGCTTTCTTTCCTTCTTCAAGTTTTGAATACTTTTATCTCATTCTCTATTTTCTTTCTCTTATTCTCTTTGGGCTGTACAAAATTGAATTATTTTGTTCTCAATTTTGAGTTAATTATTGAATAGATACCAGTATCACATTTTTATCTTCCCTTTTCCTTTAGAATTACCGTTTTATCCTCCCGTATTCTCTCATAGCTTAAATTACATACCATCTTCTTTTCATTTCCGGTAGCAAAGAAATAGGCCAATCGTTATTCTTTATTAAGCATCTTTGTGCTTAGGAAAACAACCAGGCACGACTCGAGAGAGAAAGCACACTTCTGTGGTAAATGTTACATTGTTACCGCAAAAGAAGAAGTCCAAAAAAAAAGAAAAAGAAAGAATGAGGAATGTATTTTCTTACATTAACATTTCATATGACGTGGTAATGTAAATTTTTTGTGTGTATTTCTTTCCTTATTAATAATAATTAAACTGCACATGTATGTGAAAAGAAAAATATGTACAAAAATTTCTCATGAATATGACAGAATCCTTCCCAAAAATAATAATGACATTACAAATATTTCACACCAACCCAAAAGGCCAAAGAAACAGAAAAACATAAAAGGATCTAATCCAAACTCTGGAATCGAAACAAACAGAACAGGTCCTATCAACGGCTAGTTTACTGGCTATAGCAAGTGAACCATCGCAACGGTCACATTTTAGATTCCTCACGCTCCCAAATTTTTATCTTTATATATTTGGCCCCAAGCAACGATTGGACAATCATCGAACATACTTTCCCACAACACAAACACTTTCCAACGTTGTTGGTGCAAACTTTCCAACTTCCACGCTTACCGGATATTCATTCATCCTCGTACTTTCCGAATCCTCAGAAACTCCGAAAATGAGTAGATTCCTTCCACTCTTCGTGCTTGCTCTGTTCTTCGCATCTTCAGTTTTGATTAATGCAGACAATGCTCCTGCTCCTTCACCCACATCAACAGCTTCGCAGCCGCCGGCGAACCCACCTTCTTCGGCAACTCCTCCGGCACATTCTCCGGCGGCGTCCCCTGCAAAGTCTCCGACTTTATCTCCGCCTTCACAAACTCCGGCAATTTCTCCATCTAGGTCTGCCCCAACGCCGGCGTCCGCCCCTCCGGCGAAGTCTCCGGCTGTTCAGCCGCCGACTTCAGTTTCACCGGCTTCCAGCCCATCAAATAATGTGTCTACGCCACCGGTTCCATCCCCAGCGAGTCCTCCGCCTACGGCTAAGACCCCAGTGGTATCGCCGACGGTGGCTCCGGTGAGTAGTCCGGTCGGGGCTCCGATGGTAGCAGAGGGTCCGTCAACTTCTCCTACACCAGAGGCTCCTGCAGGCATTCCTTCAAGTTCAGCCACTCCGGCAGATTCACCGGTGACGCTTCCGTCGACCAGTACTCCTCCGGGAACTGCACCGGCGAGTTCTTCGCCGGAGTCTTCACCGCCTGTTGGAGATGATTCGGGTTCAAGATCAAATTTCGGGGCTTCAGTTATTTTGTGTGGCATCGCTCTTGGGGTCGCTTTGTCTATCTGAAGCGAAAGGATTTTGTAATTTTTTGTGATATGTCGGCATTTTTTGAATAATTATTTGTTTTATTTACCTCATTGATGGATAAAAATTTAGTTATTTTTCAATTTTTTTTAGTTGGATTGGTTGGATTCTATTCATTATTTTGTGTTATTTTTTCAGGGTCGCTCTATATAAATAATTTTTTTGGTTGGATTGTTTGGATTATGTTCATTAAGTTGGTCAAGCTTTTTAAGGGTCGCTACATGTAAAAGCGAAATTAATTTTTTTTTTTTTTTTCTGTTTGTTCAAGTTATAAAGGGTTTTACTTAATTGTAATTTTTGACTCGAAATTGCAAAAATAATTATTTGCATAATAATTTACCATGTAAAACTTATTAGGAATTATTAAAATTTTAAAAGTAATTCATTTATGATTTTTTTTTAATTTATTTTTTGCAATATGATTCGTATAGATTTCAACATTCAATAAAAATTTGTAATTTTAGAAGAATTGAGAATCTATTTCTCTTGTTTTCTGATTTTGATTGATGTTTCGATAATATAATAAGATTGAGGATATTCTAACTATTAAAAACTTTCACTGTTAACATATTTTAATTATCAAAAAATTTATCTACTAATTTACTACCCATCACATGATTGTTGGATAATGTTAAAAAAAATTTGAAGAAAGAGAAAATGTTAATGTTAATCTAATGATGATTAGATAATTTTAAAGAGAGAGAAAATGAAAAATTTTGATAGTTAAAATATTTGTGGTCGTATGATAAAACAGCATCTCTTTGCCACTTTTATGTTCACAGCAACAAAAAATTAAGATATTTCACAAGCAACAACAATCTGAGTAGGCTAACCTTTTCAATAATTAATGTTTTTAAATGAATCAGCGCAAATTGTGAACAAGAAAATGGTAACGGTTCTGAGCTTAATTTCTCTAAAATGTTAGGATGCAAATATTTTAATAGAAAGTTTCGTTCGCCTCTATTCCCTCTAACACCAAGAATTTTTTCTACTAAAAAAACAATTTCATTCTCACAATAATTACTTTAAAAGTCAGGTTGTGAGTTACAGTGTAAAAAGTTCTTATAAGGAGGGACATAGGATTAAAAATTCTACTCCAAAATCAGTGCATTCATAACCAATCACAAGTTCTTGATTAGAGAAAGGAACGCTATTATCTTCACAAAAAAAGAAAAAAAAAAAGAAACGCTAGCATAATTTGAAAAAATACATGCTTCCAAATTTTATTACCTTAAAAAGAAGAATATATAAGAGGGCGATCCTGAAATAATAATGAAGTTACTTTTTTGTAATGAAAAAATTATGTGTTCGAATAAGGAAAATAGTCTCTTGTATATATGCAAAGTAAGAAAATTTCCTTTACTCCACTTCGCTAGTTGAAGTTTATTAGGGAATGTTTATTATATAAGAAACAACCTATCAATCAAATTCCATCCTAATTACAATATAAATTAATCAATCAAATTCCATCCTAATTACAATATAAATTAATCAATCAAATTCCATCCTGATTACAATAGAAATTTAAACTGAAAAGGATGAGTGTGACCGATATCTCTCCATAGCTAATAGGTTTGGAAGAGTGACCATTTTGTCACGCTTGGCAAAAAAATTACCAGACTGCCACGTCAACAGTAAATTTTGTCAAAATGTCACGCGGCATATATTTCGCTACACTGTGCAGTGAAATATATTTGCTTTGCAAGTAATTCGCTACACAGTGTAGCGAAATATGCTATGTCAGGCTACATAGTCAATAAAAAATGACACGTGTCAAGCAGACAGAATTCAAGCATAATTCGCTACACAGTGTAGCGAATTTCTGTCTACTTGACACATGTCATTTTTTGCTGACTGTGCAGCCTGACATAGCATATTTCGCTACACTGTGTAGCGAATTTCTTGCAAACATATTTCGCTACACAGTGTAGCGAAATATGCCACGTGATATTTTGGCACAATGGTCACTTTTCGTAATAGGTTTGACCTACGTTTATTTGTTCATTAGGTGAAACATGCACTGTCTCATTCACCAAAATAGAGACACGAAATTCTTTTAAGAGGAACGCTAGCATAATTTGGAAATCGGAAGATAGATTATTGCTCAAAAGGATGTTCAGAGTGTTACCAATATCTCTATATTATGGTTTTAGGATTGAAACTTGAAAACTTTCATAGGTGATAGGTGTGAACCTGATGAATTATTGGATGAGAATAACGCAGTTGATTATAGAAATATTGTAGTTGGCCTTTGTCAGTGACATGATTCAACAAATTATCACCAACACAAAGTGCATGCACGACAAATTGGCAATGTCACTTCGCTTGCAACTTGGCTAACTTCATACCATGCAAAAAGTATGAGTAGAAATATCCATATAATCTCACATTTTCAACCCCATAAGAGTTGAGTTCAGCCTTGTCAATTGCTTATCCACACACCAAACATGGGAACCTACATGGAAAATCTCTCAGGTGAAAAGGAACACATCTTTCGTAGCCGATATTCACCTGTCCCAGTTCCTGACAATGTAACATTGCCAGAATTTGTGCTCCAAAATGCCGAATTATATGCTGATAAGGTTGCATTTGTGGATGCCGTGACTGGAAAAAGGATCACTTATAGTGAGGTGGTGAGAGGCACACATAGGTTTTCAAAGGCCTTAAGATCCCTTGGTCTGAGAAAAGGGCATGTTGTGATTGTTGTACTTCCAAATGTAGCAGAGTATGCAATTGTTGCTTTGGGGATAATGGCTTCAGGTGGGGTGTTTTCAGGGGCAAATCCAGCATCACATGCATCAGAAATTAAGAAACAGGCAGAGTCTGCTGATGCCAAATTGGTTGTCACAAATAGCATAAACTATGAAAAGGTAATTTCTTGAAATAGATCTTGTATTTTCTTTGGCCTTTTGTGCATGATGAATGGAAAAGGGAAATATCCCTTGTTGATTCATAATTCAAATATTTCACCACAATAATGTAGGAAGACGTACATGGGTTCTGCACATTCAAGTCGTGCATGGGGTGACATGTGACTTGCAATGCGTGCCTTCGATGTGGCAGATCCACACTTGCTTTTGCATATGTCGCATATTTTTTCTGTGCGCGACTTGAACGCGCACATCCTATACATGTTTCACCATATTAATTTAACAAAATATTTGAATTTTGAATTAATAGGGGAAAATGTTTCGCTTTTCACATTAAATGGGTTAAAAGGTCACTTTCTTTTCCTTGGCTTTTTGGGTGACTTAAATAAGCATTGTAAACTATAGCATTTGAGACTTCTTGAGTTGAAATTAACACAGGTGAAAGGTCTAGAGCTACCTATTATTGTGCTGGATGATGAACTTGTTGGAGATGCTATGAATTGGAACAAACTGCTTGAAGCAGCAGACAAGGCAGGTGATGATTTGATAAAGGAACCTATTCAGCAGAATGATCTTTGTGCCATGCCTTTCTCATCAGGCACCACAGGAATGTCAAAGGGTGTGATGCTTACCCACAGAAATCTAGTTGCTAATCTTTGCTCTACCCTCTTCGGTGTAGGGCCAGAAATGATGGGTCAGGTCACCACACTAGGCTTAATTCCCTTCTTTCACATTTATGGCATCACTGGAATATGTTGTGCCACTCTTAAGAACAAAGGGAAAGTTGTGGTGATGGGAAGGTTTGAGTTGAAAACATTTCTCAATGCCTTGATCACACACGAGGTCACGTTTGCACCAATTGTGCCCCCAATCATTCTCAGCTTGGTAAAAAATCCCATAGTAGATGAATTTGATCTCAGCAAGCTTAAACTTCAGGCCATTATGACTGCAGCAGCACCACTTGCACCAGAACTTCTTTCTTCCTTTGAACACAAGTTCCCTGGAGTTCTTGTCCAAGAGGTTGCACATAATCTTTCTATAGTATTTCTAATTTACTTAAATCTTTTACAAAATGTGTAACTTGTGTGACAAATAATGCTGTGCATTTTACTTGCCCAAAGTGTAATGAGTTCGATTCTGAGAGTCGCAAATCCTGAGAAAGGTGAATTATTATTGTGCATTTGGTATGGTATTTGTTTCTCAAGTGCTAGTTTTTTTTTGGCAGGCTTATGGACTGACTGAGCACAGTTGCATCACACTCACCCATGCACAAAAAGGAGTGGGAAGTCCAAATAAAAATTCAGTGGGGTTTGTCCTCCCAAATTTGGAAGTCAAGTTTATTGATCCTGATACTGGTAGATCTCTCCCAAGGAACACACCTGGGGAACTATGTGTTAGAAGCCAATGTGTAATGCAAGGTAATGGAGACACAATCTGCAGCAAAAATCATGTGTATAATTATGAAAAATTACATCATGAATGAATAAAATTTTGTCTTCTCCAGGTTACTATAAGCAGGTGGATGAGACTGCCCAGACCATTGACAAGAATGGATGGCTTCACACGGGTGACATTGGATTCATAGATGATGAAGAAAATGTTTTTATTGTTGATCGTATCAAGGAGTTGATTAAGTACAAAGGCTTCCAAGTAAGTTCTTAATGTTGCACCAGGAAAAACAAATTGCTTGAAAGGTTTGGTTTGAATACAACATTATTCATAGACATGATAGCAAGCACTTGGTAAATGTTTTTTTACAATCAACTTAGAATTATTTTTAAGGGAGAGCTTAATTTATTCATAATATATATTGTGATCTATTTAGAAAACAAAAAAGAGAGTAAACAATCATAAGAAAAATGAAAATCAAGAATAAATTTGGACATTATATACACATACATGCTTTAATAATTTTTCAAATAAAGGTTGAGGACTTGGTCACAATGTATCTTATAGTTTTTTAGTCATGATAGTGTGGATATCTTACTAACTACTGAGTGCACAAAGCAATGGAGCTTATAGTATCAGATAACCAAGTATAAGCCAAATCTAGTTATGTTTTTTTTTTTTTTTTACGAGTGCAGGTTGCACCTGCAGAGTTAGAAGCTATTT